ACAAATAAAGCAAAATAAGGTAAATTAGAAAAATAAACAATATAGGTACTTTTAAAAAGAAGTTAAGAATATTTTGTAGCAAATATTATTTGAGAAATTCAAGAGATGATATCCGAAGATGATCAGTTATGAATTTGGATCGAAATCAAACTCCATGGCACAAAACTGAGCTTCTATGGCAATTCAAGGATTCTTTTAGAAATTAAAGAATAAAATCTAGGAGCAGACTTGATAGAATTTCTTTAAGCATTAATTTTGGGTGATTTGAGTATATATTGACTTTATAAGAGCTTTGCAAAGTTAGAGTTTGTTTTGGATGACTCTAAATTTGTAAAATAAAATGGATGATACTTTTTGGAGAATTTTGTAAGTTTGGCAGTACATCTAGAAGTGAAATTTTTTGGATTTGTAGGTGTAGTTGTGCTTGATGTGTGTTGTGAATTTGGATTTGATTGAATGGTTAGATTGAAAAGCATAAAGATTTTTGTAGATTATGATTTTGGAATTTAGGATTTTGAGATAAGTGAGGTTTTTTTAGATATTTGTCAATGTATTAATTAAATTGAGTTAATTTTCTTTTATAAAGGTAGTCAACTTGATTTCTAACAAGTATATGAAGTTTGAAAGCAAAATAATGGTTCAATCAAGAGTTATTGGCTTTGGAAGATTGGCACCAAGGTTGGAAAAAGAGGCCGACTAATACTTGAGCACAATTTTGAGGTTATTGTCTATTTGGCAATTTCGATCATTTTTAATTTTTTTTATACTTATTGTCAATTTAATTGTTAAGAGGTATGCAAAACTTAGATTAAAATCAACAGTTCATTCATTAGTTATTGAGGTTTAAATTTGCTATAAGAATTACTTAAGATTGATTAGGATTTGGTTTAGGGTTAGGGTTTTAGATTGATTTAAGGTTTGATTAGGATTATAATTAGGATTTTGGATTTGATGTAAGATTTGATTAGAATTAAGATTTGGTTTAGATTAAGATTTGATTAGGATTTATTTAGGATTTTTTTAAGATTCGATTAGGATTTGACCCAAGGTTTGATTAGGATTTGATTAAGATTTATTTAGGATTTGATTAAGATTTATTTAGAATTTTATTAGGATTTATTTAGAATTTGACTAGAATTTATTTAGGATTTGACTAGGATTTATTTCGAATTTTATTAAGATTTAATTAAGATTTATTTATGATTGATTAGAATTTTATTAGAATTTTATTAGGATTTGACTAGGATTTGATTAGAATTTGACTAGAATTTGTGTAGGATTTGATTAGAGCTTATTTAGGGATTGACTAAGATTTGACAAAGATTTGACTAAGATTTGACTAAGATTTTATTAAGATTTGAGTAGATTTTGATTAGAATTTAATTAAAGTTTTTATTTTAATATTTTATTAAGATTTCTATTTTAGTATATATTTTTTGAATTTCTATGTTATTTCTTTATGATTTCTTTAAAAGGTCTTTAAGAATTTTTTGTATTTTTTATATAATTTCTTTGAAATTTTAATTATATTTGATTGATATTTGATTATATTTGCTAATCTTTAATTATAATTTATATAAAAATCTATTAGAGTTGTTAGGACTTATTGTTGCAATTTTCTTTTTATCTTCCAAAGCTAGGTGTTTGGTGCATTCTTAAGCAAAATGCCATGTAGTATGACAACAAGTATGATATTAATGAATGCACATGAGACCTAGGTAAAAATCTTGCAAATTTAGTAAAGAAGATTGATGTATTTATTAATAATATTCATGAGAATCAAGATAAAGAATAATAAATCTTTGCTATAAACAAAATATGGTTCAAAAATAATTGTATTTTAATTTTTATCTTTATTAGTAGTCTATATGTATTTGTGGCACTAAAGAAATGGTAAACTAAGAACCAACAAGTTTAATCTAAGAACTATCATTTGTTGACTTATTGAACAAGATATAGTTTTTTTTCAACCTTTAAGACAATGTAATAGAAATGAAGATCTTCAAGAGTAATATTTTTTTCTTGAATAGATGGTAAGATATAATACATTTGATATCACAACCTTGAAACAGACTCATAAAATTTGGTGATTTTATTGGAGGAAAGAACAATTTCTAACAATGTTCCAAATATTCTATTTGAAGGAAGTTATGAAGACCTCAACAATGATTAAATAGCAATGTGGTCTTCTTGCCTTTCTATGACATATTATTGATCACTAATAGGATCCATTAACCACCTTCAAAAGAAACAAAAATTAGATTGTATAGCAAATATAATTTGTTGCATCTTGAACTTCCACAACATATGATGACTACTCCTCATGGAACTCGTCTTTAGTAAGAAAGATAATATTACAAACATATATTTTTACTTCAATAATCATCTTAATAATATGAATAGGTAGAAATAGATTAAAGTATATTTATTTGATAATATCTTATAGAAAAGCTTTGTAGAAATTTCATAGATGTAACTTTGTCTTTATACATGTTTGTAGTTAATTGGTAGGTTAATAACTTAGCCAACAAGTTAGCTATGTATTGCACATTGTTGTGTTGTGCTTCGGCTATCATGTAAAAATAATGTAATTATGTATTTAATGTACAACTTACTTAACAATATGGTGAGAGCCATGTTACTAGATTTTAGTTGTTTGTAGAATGTGGTTAAATTACTACTTTAAAAGGAGGTTGTTTAAAAGGATTAATATTAGAATTTGTATAACTTTATTTTTATTTGATAGTAGCTTTTGAGAATGATTTTGTTGGTAGTAATTTTAAATATTTAGAATAACCTTTATTAGACATTGTTGATCCTTGAAGTCTTATTTTGATTCTTTAATTTGGTATTTAGCGCATATATTTAGTAAATCTTGTAAAGAAAAGAATTGGAGAGAGATTTTGGTAGTAAAAAGAGAATTTAGAGCATCCATGTAGAGGAATGGAGATGGATGATGAAAATCTCCATTCCTATTGGTCAAAAATCATGACCAATGGGCTGCTCGAGGCCATATTAGAGATTAGGGTTAGTTTTTCGAGGCCATTTGAGCTTTGAAGGCTAAGGTCAGAAATTTTAGGTTTTTGGCTATGGTTTTGGTACAAATCTTGTATGATTTGGAGTTTATATGAAGGAAATATAAGTGCTCAAAGTTAAGGTGTTGATTTGAGAGCTACTGTCACTATTTTTGATATAACGTATGCGTATAGAGGGTAATTGAGGATCGGCAACTGCAACTGAAGAGAGAACTTTTGTGGCTACACTTTTCGTATACTGCTTGCTGGATTCTAAGTTGAAATAAAGGAGTTATTGGATTTTGAAGTCAGCTTATGCAATCTAAGGGTAGTAAGTGACCCGATTTACTAGTGGTTGTATCTTGAGCTATATCTTGAGCAATTTGACAAGTTTTTGGCTCAAAATTTGAGGGAATGTGTATATTTATGTTAATAAACTTTATACATAATTTTGATGGCATTTGAATATTGGATTCTTGAGATATTAAGAAAATAGTGCTCAAGTGCTTGTAAATTAGGGTTTAGAGTATCTACTAGGATTTCTTAGATGCCAAAAGATCGGAAGTGATTTTGTAGTTGGTTTTTTTTGAAGTAAAACTTAAGGATAAATTCTACTTATTTTACAAGTTTGAGACAAACTAAATAGTTAGATCAAGAGTTATGAATTTCTAAAGTTTAAGAAGAGAAAACCCTTCGCAAAAATTAAAAAAAAATAAAAAAAAAATAAAAAATTGAAGAGATTTTGCTATATTTTGAATTTTGTGCAAAATAAAGGAGTTTTGGAAGCTAAGACAAGATGCGTATAAAAGTTTAAGCTAAACTCTCTACAACTAGATACCCAGTGTATTCCCTAATAGCAAATCACGCTGTATGATAACATGTTGATAGCTTGTCTTACAAAGTAACTACATAGTGTTTATATAAATAACTTGCCTTACGAGTTAAGACATATATCTTATAAGTTAGACATGTATTGGAGGTCCTTTAAAATATTATCACATAGCTCCTACTTAGATAGTATATATGGAGGCAAGAGTGAAGCCTTCTTCACTCTTATCAATGCTTGTCAAGATTTGTTTCAAGTCTCTTTATTCTTTTTGTCTTTGGCAATAGCCATTCTAGTTTAATATTATATCATCTTTAAGTGATTATTTAGTCTTTTGAGTGACACAAGTGTCTATTAATCTTTTAGTCCATAATCCATAATTCATACATTAAGTGAATATATTAATCTATACCTTAAGTGAAAGACAATTAAGTGAGTACTATCAAAATTTCAACTTTGTTAGTTAGAAGTGTTTGATCTTTTGACCTACCATCAAAAGATTTAGTAATGACACACTTTTTCTTAAACTAAAAATAATATTATTAATATTAAGAGAGGATTTGAGTATCTTTTGGAGGCAAATCTTTATTCAATATATGTTGTTGGAATAATAGACTATTCATCTAGGAATTCATCATAGAGACGACCTTATATTGATTGATAATTCTTGGATCTACCTAAAAAAAATCAAAAATTAAAAATTAAAAAAAATCAAAAAAAAAACAAACAAACATAGTAACACAGTATTGGATTTGTCATAGCAACTAAAAAGGAATATTCATGAAAGTAAGGTATGTCAGAATGACGATGATTAAGAGGATTGTGTTCAAAGGAAATTACAATGATAGGAAATTCTCCATGTGGGTTTTCGATAGAAAATTAAAACAAAATAAAAAACGTTTAGAGGTGTGAAATTAAAGTTAGTCCTTTGCAAATAATAAGTGAAAAAAAAATGACCTCAACATAATTGGAACTGTAATTCAGGATCAGTGGAATCTCGTTCTGGTAATTTACCAGGACGAGATTCATCTGATCGTGAATTAAAAAACTCCAGAGATGAATTAAGAAAGGCCGAACGAATAACGTGCATATGGAAAAGCATTCATCCATGAGATGTCTCCTCCTCCTCTGAGAGGCGACAGCATCTAATTTGCTGCGGAAGCAAGTGTACATAATTCTGGGTTGAATTCTGTCAAGGTTGCGGATCGAATTGAAGCCGATTCGCACACTTCTCTAGCGACCTGCGGTTTCTCTGGAAAGATTCCGAGCTTTTGAGAGTGGATCTTTGTGAGGAACAAGCTCCTATAGTTGCATCGTGAATTTCCGAAAGGTGTGATGGTAGTTTGCTTCGATGAATATTATGTGGCTGTCTACTCACGTAGACCTTATATCACGTCAAATTGTGTAGACGATTGTAGGTTTAATTGCGCATTTTGTGTTTTTTTTTTTTTTTTTAAATTACGGCTGCGAGATTGATGAAACCTCGCTTGAATTCTATTTCTGACGTTAAACCTAAACCCCGAGATTTCGTGGGCAGGATTTTTGCTGAGTATGACGAGTGCCGTGGCCACCAACACGGCCATGGCTGGCGCTCGCTCGTCAATATTTGAGCAGCATAAGTTCGTTCGCCTGCTTGAGCTTCCTGCCGCAACGTCCTCATCCTTGAGCCCCTTTCTTCAGGTACAATTAGATGACGCATGCTCTTCTGTGCTGATTTTGTCGCACCGTAATCGCACATTTTTCTGCTTTTAATTGGGAAATGTATTCGAAAATTAACTCATCATTTACTGGTGAATTGATGAATGTGAAGTGCGTATTGGCACCACAACATATTCTGGAGAAGTCTTCCTTTGTTTTGTTTGGTTTGGTTTGGTTTGGTTTTTCGTATAAAACAGAAACATTATACGATCATTTTCCCTCTATGACAGATATTCACTTCATAAGTTAAGGTTATCGCTTTGAGATGTGTATAACATTCTGTGATGATTGTACTGCTTTTGTCAGAATTCACAGACTTCCACAATCAATGGATTTGTAACTCCGGACCTACCGGTCAAAACTTCTCTTGCGGAATTTTTGAACTCTTTCGAATTGAAGCATATTCTACCAAGACTGGTTCAAAAGAGTTCGAAGGAGGAGACTGTGCAACTCCCAAGATTGGGGCTTGTCGAAACTTTGCGAGGCTTGGATTGTTGGCAAGTGAGAACGGTTGCTGCTCAAACAAGATTACTGCCAGAGATCCAAGACCGTATGGTGAAAGCCTCTAACAATATCGAGGCCGCAGGATGTGGAGGCGCTCTGCTACTCCTATCTGGAGGTAATGAATTCGAAGCAGTAAATATATGTTTCAAGATTTAGAGCTAACTCTGTTTGATACATAGTGCCGGTTCCGATTCTGCCACGTTTTTTTGGAAATTGGGCTGTATAGTCCTTTGTAAATTTGAGGTATATGCTGTATAGGATTGTCCGTACAATCAAGAATAAAGCTTACTACCTATCACTTGCTTGTGCTTTTTCGTGCATATCAGAAATTTTACGCTGATTCGAAAGCCATGAGGAGGCCTCTGCATGTGCAAATGTATTTTATCATGATTCATCATTCGAATTTGCGCAGGACACCCTTTAAGAAGAGTTTGGTTTGCCAACCAGCTGCTACCAGCAAACTCGTTTGCCATGTTGCGCGCAGCACATCAGTTACGAAAGAGTGGTCTTTTGTCTCCTGGTAATTCCATGCGAATTAACTTTCTTTTCTTTTTATGCAAGATAATGTAGACTTTTCACTTGCTGTCATGATCTCAACCAGAACTTACATGACAAGTCAGAAGTGCCATTGTCTCACCACTGCTGCTTATAAACCCCCCTGCTTGATCGTGTTCACTGTGCAAGGATTGCAGCTCTGGTGCGTGGAGAATCCTCTCCTCAATTCCGTCGAGCGGCTTGACAAGAAGGTTGCTTTTTTAGAAGTAACTTAATAGACTGCTCTCTTTTCATAAATGTTAGACATCTATTCACTGTTAGTCTTGTTAAGTTTGTACTGCTGTTTATAACTCGTGTTATATCTTCAAGTTGTAGACATCAATGGGACATGATAGCATTGATCTTCTGTAATCAATTTGGTTTTATTTTTAAAATTTTGTTTATTTTAGATAATATAGGTATCTGTTTCATTGACGTTCAATAAATGTCATTATGGATGAAAATACCGATAGTTGCTAAAATTATATTAAGTATATTTATCAGGTTATATCGATGTTCATTTGAATTATTCGTCACAATATGTTTGTGTAGGCTCGTCTCGTACTGGGCATTGTCTCCTTTTCTGGTTATAAACTGGCTGTTCATAATAACAGGTTATGGCAGGCGCAGAAGCTGTTATTGTTCAACCTCCTTTACTGCCTGATCGTTTCGAGGAATGGTGGAGCAAAGCCGAACATAGAGGGTATGATTTATTTGTTGATTCTCTAGACATGATGCTTTGCTGAATAATCCCAGATGTTTCAGAATATTTTTTTCTTTTTCATGACGCAGTTCTTCAATCTTGTGTTAAGCACTGTCTTCTAGTGCTTCTCATCGGACCAAACTTTGTCGTGGATGCTTCCCGTTGCATTAGATAATTTCTTGGAGGAAACACGTAAAAGACCGATCCTGAGTAGGTTCAGATTAAGATGGTGATTGTACGAAACCTGACAGGCGAGATGTTGGAAGAGTTTCTGACATTTGAACATTTTCCTACTTGTCAGGTTGACGAAGGCAACACCAGTAGTTGTCGGTCTTCCTTTGTTGACTTCAGCTCGAAACTACTCTTTTTGGCTTGAACTGACTCAAGCATCAGGTCTAATATTGCCCATATTTTCAAAATTAGTTGAAGTTGCGTAAGAAAATTGTTAAACATAGGTAAACGACAATGATGATACTTGTAGACTTTTAAGATCACTCGTGTTTTCGTGGACTGTAGCTGATTCTGAAAATTGTGGGTTTACTTTGTATAATTATAGTGTTATTGTTTTAGTCTTAAGTATCTATCATACCATTTGACAGTGACAGTTCTGGTATGGACTCAAGATATTCATTTTGCATCATCTGTTAGTGGATTCCGTGAGAAAAGATGTAGTTTAATAATCGAAGGAATAACCATCATCATAGGAAAAGTGTGCAAAGTCGTATAGACATTTAAGGTGAGTTTTCTCTGCTGAAATAATTCCTAAAAGAAGTTGGTTGAGTTTTGCTGACTGGATATATAATTCGTTTTCGTAGGGAAGGAAGCGGATGCAATAACAGCACGGTGGAAGCGAATTGAAGCTGAATACGCTGGTGACTCGGTTGCATTTGCCAGATTTTGTTACGAGGAGAGTGTTCGCATGATTGAATCCATTAGATGTCTTCCTGGTGAGTTCAACAAGTTCATACAATGGTTTCATTGGGTGCGTTTGTGTTAAATGTAGAGTTCTGCAGTACGTACTGCTTCTGGAGGATTTAAACTGTCATAAAGGTTACCTAATTCCGGGGATGCTACCGGCTGCTGATGTCTGTTCCTCTGCTCTATATTGATGGTTCGTTGTCTGGGTCTTACGCAGGAGTGGCTGGAATCCATGTCATGCCTGTCACGCGGGCTGGCTGGAGACAATACCAGAAATTGGTTGCGGAAGGCAAATTATAGAAGATGAAAGGAGCATCATACAAGTAGGATGAATCCATTGATTCGGCGCAAAATGTCGTGTGAATGTCCCTGTGTAGGGTGTTTGGAAGTCTTCCAATAAGTTCCTGAGACGATGCATTCTCCTGGGGACGGTCACGAAGGAGGGGATTTCTTTAAGTGATGGCAGGCGGCAAAGTCGCTCATTGATAATTAGATCCCATATTGCCATAATGTATCATGAACACACGACGAAAGGGTCAAGCTTTCTCAAGCTTCGAAGTGAAGTTTGGCGGGATTTGCGGAAACATTCCCTCATGCTGACTAATAAACAACAGCATTCTTTTGGTAAATCGACCGAAATGTCTAACCAAACAGAATGTTCAAATGACTAAGCACCTAGAAATCGTTCAATCGCTGGGGACAATCTCATTTTGACCATCGTACTCGTTGAGGGTATATCGACATCCTTCTCTCTTTTTATTGTCTCTTCATGCAGGTACTCTGGAATCTAACCTGAAAAACTTAGAACACAATGTGTGCTCATTCGGTTGACAGGGTTGAACGTAATTGCAAGCAGCCTTGAAGAGTTGTCTTAACAAACTACAGACCCAACTCCCCACAAGTTGGCTAGTTTCTCCGCACTTTCTCTGAGCTCCTCTTAGTGTTTTGAAGTAGTAGCTTAAATATAGAATCCTTGTAGCCTTGCTTTCTTCAACTGTAGTATTGCTTTCAAACAGCATGAATATGGGAACTTGCCCCTTTCTTTTCACTTGACTTACATTCCATGGATACCTCTTACTCCTTGGTTGAAATCCAGCTGCAAGCACAAGCTTGAATCTTTGCTTGCTTTGTGTTATTGAACCTCCTCAGCTTTTGCACAATTCATCAGTGTTACTGTGCCACTTCTGGGTGTTTACTTGTGCCTATTGCAGCAGGTAGTGTTACTTAAAATTGGATTTTCAAAATGGAATTTCTTAAACATTTAACATTGCTGAACGTCGTGGTTTCAAGTTGACCGTGCACAAGTGATAGGAGTTTTACCATGAAGGTTTGTGCACCTTCATCAGTTTGTTGGGCGCTTGTGTTTGTTTGTGTATATAAAATAACATGAAAGATAATACATGTTGAATTAGTGTTTTGCATTTGAATGATATATCACACAGATATCTATTTGAAAATCACAAGAAGCAAAATGTTGAAATTAAGTACAAATGCATCAATAAGTTTAATAACAAACCAACAAAAATCCAAAAAAAAAATGTTTGAAATGATTTATGGTTAAGGATGGAATAAGAAATAAGAAAATTATTTAATAGTTTCAAACTAAGAAAATGTGTAAGTTGTAAGGCTGTCACCAAAACATTCAATTTCTAAGGTAATAAAAATAGGGGAATGTTAAATAGACCCATGCTTCTACTAAATAGATCCACTCTAAATAAAGAATATGGTAATCATGATAGATTTGGTTAGTTTTTATTGGTTGCAGATCCAATGGTGGAGAAATAAATTTGGAGATCATAATGGTTAGAATGGATCAATTTAGTAAAAATTTGGGTCTATTTAACATTCCCCTAAAAATACTAATAATCACAACACATAATGAACATGAATGACAAGAGTTGTAAAAACTTGTTTTGTGATGACAACAATTATCTTCCTAATTTTCCATACCTAATTTAGATATATTTCTTGAAAAAATTGATGCCAAAAAATAAAAGTTAAAAGTTAAAAGCAAAGAATGGCATCCATCACATCTTCAACCAAATCATGATTTTAAAATTTAAATGAACCGCAATCATGACAAAGCAAGAGAGTACAAATCCCATCCACAAACACATCCATCAACCAACGAACTCATCTATTAATCGATCCACATCCAGACCAACATCCATCCACAAACGAAAACGTTCGTCGTGCATGGACGGGCGACGACGAACGGAGCCAGAGTGTGACGGAAAGCGGCGTGAAGACGAAAGCCGTATCATCGAAACCCTAGACCTGCCTGCGCTGCCCGAGGAAGAGGACGACACGACGAGGACGAAACAACAGCAAGGCCACGACGAAGAGGAAGAAGAGAAAGAAGAAGAAGACGACGCAGAAGAAGAAGAAGCTTGCGCGACAATCGTGAGCTTCAACCTCCTGCTCCTCCTCCTCTCATTGCTTTTCACACTTCATTCATCTGCTCTTTCTCGCGAGAAAGAGCTTAAGTTACGGGACCTCAGCAGGCGTCGCTGTTAGTCTTCAATCACTCGTCTTTGATCCTCTTCCCCTCATACACCACGATTACCTGCCAACTCTCGGTTCGGCCTCCGTCTTTCGTTATTTGCGTCACCCCCCAGGTCGAGGTGGCTGTCCGCCCCTCAGACTTGCTTCAGTTGGCTTTCTATCGGAAACTCGAGTTCTTTGGTTCGGATATTTGTGGTTGGGGTTTGAGAGTGGAAGTGGGAGTGTCGGTGTGGAGGGGTGAGACGGGGTTTGGAATTAGGTTTGGTGCCAGGACGTCGTTGTGAGATGTGATGTATTGGGATGATGGCGGACGTTCTTATGACGGGCGTTAGTTGCTAGGGTGTTCTTTTTTGTCTCTTGGTGGAGTAACGGAACGATGGTGTCGTGCCGTGGGAAAGCTTGTGAGTTGAATTAGGGATTGTGTGTTTTGAAGATGGGAGGACATTTTCTGTGTAGTGTTTTCTGTTCCCGGGTCTAGGGCTTTCGTGGGGTAGGGATAGAGCAGGATTTCGAATTTTGGCTCGTTGAGTTTACGCTGTAGATTAATTGTCGATCTTTCTTTTAGTTTTTTATTTTATTTTATATTATTTTGTATTATTTTTCCGTTTTCCTCAAATTAAGTTTGAAAAACTTTCTATAGGGATAGGAATAAACAGGGCGTGCAGTGTATTAGACTTGAAATAGTTTTTCTGAGGCTGAGGAGAAAGCGATCAAGAGCAAGATGAACAATGCAATGAATCCCCCATATGGTAGCACAGGTGGTCAACCCGGGCAAGGAGGAATTCCAGGTGTACCTCCTCAACCAATGATGCGACCTGGGTTTAGTATTCCGCTTCAGCAGCAGCCGCCAAGACCGTACGCACCTCCGCCAGCGGGATTTATGCCATCTCAAGGGCTAGCTCCGGGGCAGCCTGCAGCGCCAGTTATGCCTCCTGGAGGTGGGTAAACGTGTGTTGCATCAGTTGTTCATAAAGATTGCTTGTATGATATACGTTTAGAAAACGTGGACGCGCAGAGAGCACCAGAAGAGTGTGTGAGGGAGAGAATAAGACAGGCATGTGTGCATGAGGGTGACGGACTGTTTTCTCCTCCAGCAGTGCATTCGAGTTGTCATGGTGAACATGGGAAAGAGCGCCCACAGGTGTGAGCCTTCATCGTCTTAATGTGGTATGCTTAATTCCCTATCAAACAGTCGCAACAGCAATTATGTCTGCCATCCCATCATCCCTTGCACGTCTTATTTCCTTCACCTATTACTTAGGTGCTGCGCATAAACCAATTATTAATAAATAGAAACCGATCGCATGCTCTCTCAATTGGGAAGTTACATGAGGACTGGGATGTCTCTTGGCAATTCATGTCTACTTAGTAGACCCCTAGGTTCATCAGCGCCCTTAACTAGGAATAGTTTGTGGTTTATTACCAATAGAATTGGGCGTCTCTTGTCTTAGATTCTGGTTGAAGGTAAGAGTGTGGCAGTGAGTTGCACTTTGGGGTTGTGAATATTGCTGGAATGGAGCCTGAATTAGGTGAGTATACCAGACTTGCGCCTTTTTGTTTTTTGGAAATTTGAGTTGACCAGGCTGAAACTGAAACGAAAATCTGAGCTTTCAAATCTGGAAAGCTTCATTCTGACACGGTTCCCCCCAGTTCTTGTTTCTGGTTCTGCAGGTGCACCCCGGTACTCTGCACCACCCTATGCGCAAATGGTTCGTCCCCCCGTATTTCCAGCGCGTCCACCTGTAGGGCCACCTCCAGTAATAATGCTGGCAAGGCCTCCTGGAACTGGGATTCGACCTATGCCGCCAGTGCTGAAGCCACTGCCTGGAATGTTGCTTAACGACCTTGGCGCGAAAGGTGTTGGCCAGATTGTTGCTCCACCTGAAAAGCCTCACACAACTGTTTATGTTGGAAAAATTTCTTCTACTGTTGAAGATGATTTTCTTCGAGCAACTCTCGAGGTGAATGCTTTTTAAGTCGTTACTTTTCATATGTTGGGATATTGTTCTAAAATGAAAATGATTTTATTTTAGAGAAATGTGAGGGATGGGGATTGTTCATTGGAAGTTAATGCCTGGTCATCCACACAATGCTGGTGATGATGGATGCGCTAATTCTTATCTTAAGAACGAAATGTGATCTTCATTGTAAATATTGAACTCTTCGCATTCTCCCAAGCACGGTTGATTAGTTGTGCACAACATGATCTATTTCTTTTAGACGTTTAACCGTCCTTCTTTTGCAGTTATGCGGAGGCATTAAGAGCTGGAAACGTGCCCAAGACCCTACTACTGGCTCTCCTAAAGGCTTTGGTTTTTGTGAGTTTGAGTCAGCTGAGGGTGTGCTGCGAGCTCTCCGCCTTCTCAATAAATATTCTCTGGATGGGCAAGAACTAGTGGTAAGCACCTGCCTTAGGAGTCATCATGCTGCACAAAACATGTAGTCCTTCGGTTGAATAATTCTGAATCTTATTTTTCTGGTTTATCAGATTTATTGACTCCGACCTTTTTGAGGGAGGCTGGTTATGGTGCTCTAGCATGTCATTGGCACTGTGAGAAGGGTATGTTGCAAGAAGTTGACTCTTGTTTTGTGGAGTTTGTAAATTTATCTGTATGACTTCTGCTTTATGAAAGCATGCCTGAAGTGGTAGTGTTTCCACTCTGCTATCTTTACTTCCTGCACATCAGAAGGCTCTTTTTGCTTCTTTCAGTTGTATTGTAGAATTGAGTTTTATTTTTTTATTTTTTTATTTTTTATTTTTTGTAAACTTCATGACATTTGAGAGCTTTAGTTGAAGTTCCTCGTTACCAGTAAGTAGCAAAAACGGCAGCAGCTACAACAACAACAATAGTAATGATAGTAGTAGTAACCACTCACATCCTTTTATTGCTGGAATTCGTTTATTACGCTGGGTCTGTCTTACATAATGAATGACAAAGCAGGTCTGGTGCTTCATCTGTCTTGTTGTTTCTCGAATGCCTATTTGTATGAGATGAAGGATTTTGAGGGTATAATTTTGGCAGCTTAACGTGAATCAAGCAACAAGGGAATATTTAGAGCGGTATGTTGCGAAGAAGAAAGAGCGAGAAAGGATCGCACTGGAAGAGGAGGCAGCTAACCGAGAAGAGGAGGCTGCACCTGGAGTGGAAGTTGTGCCGGAACCCAAGAAAGCAATCAACGGCGTGAATTCCAAGAAAGATGAAAACACTCCAGAAGATGATGCTAAAAAATTCGGACTTGTGACTGATGCTGACAAGGAAGTCGATGATCAAGCTGTTCAGAAACTGAACGCTATGCTGGCCGAAAGGTTTCTTGGCCGATCTCTCTTTTTTGCTTATTATTCAGGCATGTTATGGCGTGGTTATTGCTGCTTGTGAAATTGTATCCCTGGACTTGCCAGCTACTTGTTTAATTCCCTTTTATCTCAGCAAGTTGAAGATTTATTATTATTATTATTTATTTATTTTTCAAACCTTGCTCCATCCTTTGTATCCCTCTCTGCAGTGTGCTCTGCCGCTGATTATTTTCTTTTTACTTTCTTTTTTTTAACTGCAGGGCTAAAGCGAGACCACTACCTCCACCTCCACCTCTGGCTACTCCTGTAGAGACTAGTGTAAAGAGCAGTTCTGTTGCTGATGGCTCAACACTTCTCAAAGATGGTGACTCAACTGCAGACGGAGAAAAGAGTGGTAGACTCTCAATTAGAAGGATCGTATGCTTTCGGCAGTGTTTTGATGGCTTAAGTGTGGATTGCTTGTCGGTTTTACCCATTGCTTAATGTTGTCTGTTATCATAGGATGCGCATGTGTGTGTGAGTGTGTTTGTTTCACTAGCACCTGTGAATTACAATCAGTTTTTTCTTTTTATAGACATGCGCATATGTTAGTTACCTCCACTGTTAAATAGCCTTCTTCCGAACGCATCTTTTACATGGTGGAATGTAACTTTTGACCCTTTTCCATTCTGGCAGAAAACGTGAGCGGACGGAACGACGACGACACCATAAGCGAACAAAAGCAGAGCAGTGCGGATGTAGAAGCAAGTTCTGTTGATCGAAGTAGGCGCAGTGAGCGGGGCTCAGAGCGTGACAGGGAGCGTGAATTGGAGCGTGATAAAGAACGAGAAGTGGAGCGTTATGAGCGGGAGCGTGAACGTGAGCGTCTACGCCGAGATCGGGATCGAGAGAACAGAGTGCGGGAAGCAGAACGCTTGTACGAAGAACGTGAAAGGGAATGGGAGAGCAGAGAGCGGGATAAGGAGAGACAGCGGTTATATGAAAAAGAACGGGAGAAAGATCGGGAAAGAGAGAGACGCAGGGTGATCAAGGAACAGGAGGAAGAGAGCGACGATGAAGATCGGCGGAAACCTCGGTATCGAAGTGCTGCGTACGACGAAAAGCGTAAACGCCGCCATAGAGAATACGAAGAAGATGAGGCCGATCGAATCAGGGAGCTAGAAGAGGAAGCCTCTGCTGAGCTTGTTAAACGACACAAACCCAGTCCTGAGCATGCAGTTGTTGCCAACGATGAGAATGACATGGATGTTGGTGATAAACCTGTTCCATCAATTGATTATGTCGAGGAGCCCGTACTTTTACCTGCCTCACCTGCGCATGTCGTGTCAATGTTCGATAGTGATTCAGAAGAAGAAGAAGAAGCGGATCATAGTAAGTGATTGTACTTTATATTTCTTCTATCTTGATTATGAAGGTGGTGTCAGATTTAAATCACATTGTAAGATCTGTTCGGGATTCTTTGTGTAGCTCAATATGTTATTGTCACCTCCTGTATTTTAGACGTGATAGAAGCGTGTTTCAAGCATGGATACATTTGCAAATATTTACACTTTGCCTGGAAATAGTTTCTCATCAATCTTACGTGTGTTTTTTGTGCAAGCAGAAAAGACTGCTGGCAATGGTGTTTACTCCGTTGGAAGAGAGGACAGTTCAGCTGCAGCTGTCACTGATGTGAAGCCCAGCAGTAGTCCTGCTCCTCGCAAGCTTGGATTTGGCTTGATGGGGTCGGGAAGGCGTACTGCAGTACCCTCTGTGTTTACTGAAGAAGACGAGGATGCCACAGCTGATGCTAGTAAGCTGCGTACACTAGTTCCCATAGACTATTCTGCAGAGGAAATGCAAGTTGTTGCAACCGTCCCATCTGCTCCGGCCCCTCCTCCTGCAAGTGGTGGTCTAGCTCACAATCTAGCAGCTGCTGCAGAGTTTGCCAAGAGTTTATCCTTGTCTTCAGGGAAGGATGAGAATGACAAAGATGGATCTAGAAGGTCCAGAGATAGGACTAGTGATCGAGATAGGTCTCGTAAGGAGAAAGAACGGGACCGAGACCGGGATCGGGATAGGGAAAGAGATAGGGAGAAAGAAAAGGATCGTGATCGTGATCGTGAGAAGGATAAAGAACGGGAACGTGAGCGTGAGCGTGAGCGTTCCTCTAAGGCAGAGACTAAGGCTCCAGAATCCAAAAAGATTCTGGATGCCAAGCAGCTGATCGATACAATCCCCAAGACCAAAGAAGAACTCTTCAATTTTCCCGTGGATTGGAATATTTATGACTCGGTATATTTCTCAACCAGCTTTTTTGGTAACATGATCGTGCAAGGACTGATGGACAAGTTATCTGTTTGTAAAGCTGTGTTTCATGTGAAGGAAATATTTGAAATTGAATGCTAGAGTTTGGTCTTTCACAGTTGCAACGGGCTTATTCTTGGACTTGCTCATGAAATATTGACACTGCGCAATTTCATACATAATCTCGATCCATGTCTAGGCTTCAAGAGAGTATGGTGTCTGGATTTCTGGAAAGCAACTGTGGTAATGTGGGTCTGAGAAGGAACATCGCATGGCCCATTGTAATACGCAGTGGACGTCTGCTTTTCTGAGTGGTCATTTACAATTGTATGGTGTTCCTGTGACAGCATGACCTCCATGAAAGGATGCGACCTTGGATTTCAAAAAAGATCACAGAGTTTCTCGGTGAAGAGGAGAACACGCTGGTGGATTTCATTGTGAGTAGCACTAGGAAACATGTTTCAGCTGCTACTATGTTGGAGCTTCTGGAGGCTATTCTTGATGATGAGGCTGAGATGTTCGTATTGAAGATGTGGCGCATGCTTATCTTTGAGGTTCGACGAGTCGAAACTGGTCTAGCTTCATGGAGGAACAAATCTCAAGGTTAATGGTAATCGTCTTTACAATTATCTGTCACATTTCGTTCAGTTTAGTTGAGGTTCATATTAATACCAATGGTTGAGAGGTAAAGTTTCAACTGATTTCATGATTCTGTCCTTTTAGATGTCTGGATATGTTTTTATGGCTACTTGGCAAATGCATCAACTATTATTCATTGAACTGGTAATAGATGATTTTTGTGTATTAGTCCAATTCAAGCATATCCATTGTGGATTTTTTATGCTTGGTTGCTTCCTGCTGTATCAGAACTTTATATGTACAGTTCTCATTCTTTCTCAATTTAGGATCTAACGTTGTATTGCACTCAAGAGTACCGACGCATGTGTTAGCTATTGAATTGCTGTTTGATATTTAACAGCTTCACTAATGTGTGTTAAGCAAATTGTGATTATACTAGCAAAGTGTGATTACTACTTTTGTGTCACACTTGAGGGTGAATTCTAGTATTTTAAGCGTGTTTTTGAATATTTTCTTTTTGTTCACAATTATAGAAATATACAATACTTACAGATCAGATGCAGTGTGCGTTAGATGAAATTTATGTAGCTGTGTTTCAGATAATGTACTTACATACATCAAGATAGAAAAGAAATTACTTTTTCATGCTGCAAATATAATTTGAAAATCACACAAATAAAAATTTAAATGTGTAATTTTAATGAAAGAAGTGACAACTTCAGAGCTTAAACATAAACGTCAGAGCTTAATTAATGGCTATAAGATGGAGTAGAACAAAAAATAAAATAAAATGAAAAATAATATCACAGAAGACGTGTATATATATATAGATATATATATACAATTATCTACATTGTAGGTATTTAGTCAAAGTTTTAAAAGCATTGAGCCCCGGTTCTCGTGAAACCTCACCCCAAACCTCAGCTGAAGGTGCTGGCTGCCCTAGATCATATCGCACCCTAAAACATCCCCAGTCATAAAACTCCTTGCAGATCATCATAGATTGGAATGAACACCACCAGACGCGCGCTTCCACGCCCACCACGGCAGCCCGGGTGCCCAGCAAACCCTAAATCCCTTAGTCACATTGCGAAGAAAAGGGCGCATTCTGGTAGAATCGACTAGAGCGATTCGGAAGTGGACGAATTCTTGAACCCACTAGTGATCACTCCTCGCTATTTCTCCACCCAAATCTGCGATTTACTGTAGCCAAGCGCGCCGCAACACAGAAGTGACCCCAAAATCACCAAAAGAAGCTTCTTTTTTTAACCAAAATCAACACAACCAAGCGCGACTGCGTGATGAGATTTTCGGCGAAGGAGTGAGAGGGGGTAATTTTACGAGATGGATCACGATTGGATGCGTCGTCAATCGCGAGGGTGATGAGGCGAGAAAGACGTGTCGGTACCGTGACCGTGGTGCCGACCACGCCGTTGTGTCGGTGGGGTGTCGGTGTCGGATATGGATGGATGAAATTTCGGTGCTTCGCCTTTCATTCTCTGTGCATGAAAGGGCTTTGTGGTGTGGGGTGTTTAAAACATGCACTAATCCCTCGCGATTTTGTTATTATTATCATCATATTAATAGTTCAATCACCCACATTTGATAATTTATTGCATTTCATCATGATTGTAATTTCTTTTACAAATTATGTAACAGAAATTAATTTTTGTAGGCAATATATAATGTTGAAAGAATTGTGTTAAAAATCCTTTTATCTGAAAAGTACTATGTATCAAAAGTTTAAATTTCTGTGAAATAATGATATTGGTTAAAGCTTAAGCTATCAAAAACATTAGTCAATTAAATCCATTGTGTGCACTACAATGATGCAATTATAACTAACATGAGGTTTTAGATGGGGGTTAATTTTTTCTTTGTACTTGTCTTGATATACTTTGGATTATTGATTCACACATGAAGGAATGTTGTTATCTTTAAGGTTAAATTTCATGCTTTGTATTGCAAAATCACACAATAAATATTCTGGAAATTCTTACATTTTAAAATGTTGTATAAATTTCTTACATGAGATTTCATTAGCATCTAATCTTTTTGCAATGTGTTTTTTTGTTTCTAACATATTTGACTTTGAAACCTGTTTAATAAAATTAAAATTGTTCATAGTTTTGAAAATAATGATTATTGTTGATAAGAAAAATATGGATCAACAAGCCCTAAGTTGGAAGGTTTATGGTTTTCCAATGGTTACAAGAGAAAATATGAATATATATATATATATATATATGTATGTATACAAAATTTAAAATGATAAGTAGTGGTAGATTTTGATCTTAACAGTTTGGGCCAATTCAAATGATATAAAATTTGGCAAAAAATTAAATATTGTTTAATTCAAATTTCAGTTTCAAGAAAGTTGTAATATATTTTAAAATATAAAATAACTCTGTCTCTTTTTTTTTCTTCTTTGTCTTTGGACCAATAACTTTATCCTTTGAAATGGATATTATAAAACCTATTGTAAAATAAAATTTTAACCTTTATTCAAAAAAATATATAACATGAATTTGTAACAATTTTTGAAATCCATGTATATGCATTCTTTTACAACTACCATAAGTTTATTATGTTATTTTAAAAGTTTCTTTTAATCCATATATATGTATATATCTATAGTTAAAAAAATTAAACAAGCTTTGTATTTAATTATGTGCAATTCAGTAATACAGAAGAAATATATATGTACATGTATCGTTCTATACTTGTGCATACATATTCGTGGTCACAACAGTACAAAAAACAAAACAAAATTGCATATTTTACTGCATTTATGAATCAATCTCAACCACACATACATACGCACTTACTCATTCTTATATATATATATATATACACACACAAACACATGTGGCATCAATGCGATGCAACGGAGTCCCCAGTTTCGATGCAAAAAGTTGGTGTCCATTCTCACCACAAGAGATTACAAAAACGCCCACCTCATGCGGCGGTATACTTTCAATAGTTGCCATCTGCATTCAGCATCAGCTTTAGCTTGGTGTGTTACTATCTATTCCACAACCCGTGATGCCTCTCATTCCCACAGTGATGACACTTTGTGTCGATGAACTTCTCCCACCTCGCATGTGCACAAATGCGAACTGAGGTTGCAGTGCACTTCAGATCCTTCTAGACTCTACTGGGTCACTGCATGTCTAGTTAAAATGGCCTTTGCATCTACTCCCTGCTACAAACGGTGTGGTCAGAAAAACCACACATTGTCATAACTAGTTCAACCCTGTCGCACCATGAGTATTTGAATGCGTTTTGGATGCTACGTTTGGGCCTGGTGAACTGCAAGTCTTCTTAGATTTTCAGCAGTGCCACTGTAACGAGGCCCTGCGTCGTAACATGAACTGAACCAGTCAGTAGATTAATGTTCCGAAGTAGCGCTTTTGAGTAGTGTGGTGAATCAATCTAGACATTCGCCACGCGTTGGATCAATCTTCAATTCGGAAGAACTGGGATCAGCGATAGTGCAAGTAGAACGCACCACTGTTTCTGCAAAAATATGCCTCGGCATCGAGATGTGAGTAACACAAATGAACTCCGAAAGTCTGATGTTTCCATGAGTTTCAGAGAACCTTGAGTTCTCACCACTGAGATTGAAATCCGTGACTTCCGAGTCAGTGATTTAGTTTCGCTCTCTACGATGTAGTATGGCTGATCTCTACCATTTTCTGGTGTATAAGTTGGGTCATTAGGTGCAGTTTTATTGACGGGTTTTTGTTCTTATAGAACAGGATTGTTTCCACTCCAAAATCCAACTTAAAGGGCAACTAGTTTTAAATAGCAGGAATCTCGTTTCAAGGTTAGAGCAGCTTCATACTACCCAGTTTCCCAGTTTAATTTTAATATTAACTCTTTCCATCTCGGTGGATTCAGTGCCCTAGAAAACGTTTTAAAGTTGATAATTCACTCATGCGTACATACATGTATGTGTGTGTGTGTGTATATATATATTCAAATATTGTAAATTGATACCTTTTATTTGTTCAGTTGACGAGCTTCATCCAATTCTTAAATCTCTCACAAGATTATAATTATACAAGATGAGCGGGATGAACACACAAGTATGTTTATATGAATTAATAAATATTTTACTGAAGAAAAAAAAAAAAAAAAAAAAAAATTCATTGATTACTTTCAACGTGTTATCACATAACATGTTATACTCTACGTCATACCACATGAAAAACCATTGGATAATTTAAATGTTGAACTATCTCATTCCTCAAAATAAATAAATTCATCCATATTAACATCCATGATCCTTACAACCTTCCAAAAGTTTTGGGAAATTAAAAAAATAAAAATAAAAATAAATCATCATCCATCTTTATATTGTGAAAATAATAAACTTTTCTCACATAGGGTTCACAAGTAATGGATCCCAACAAATGTGTTAGAATTGACACACAACCACAATTTAGAACCAAGGGAGATATGCTGCCATGTCAGCAAAGCTTGGATTTGTCAATGGGCATACCCCCACAAACTCATCCAACTCTCCCTTCAAAATATGAAAAAGAATTGAAGTTTGTTAAATCACTCGACAAGGCAATGTCCATGTTGGTACCGATCTCTATCAATGGGAAAAGTCAATCCTTTTTATTTGCTCTCTAAGGTAAGTTATTTTTCTATACTTTAGATGGGTTGGAAAGACAAACACATTTATAATGTTGTAATCTAAGATGAATTTCTTGGAGGGGGGGGGGAGGTAAAAAATAAAAAATTTGAAAAATCTTAATCTTAACAATATAATGTGAAGTGCCTTATACGTAAAGGACAAGTTGCATGATAAGATGTCGATGGATTCAAAATATATTTTATGTCTATAAGGATTTTTTTGTAGACAAGTTCTTGAATTGCCATTGCAAGAACACTTCAAAAATGAATAACACCAACTCCAAAAGGGCTTTTTTGTGTAGATGTTTCACTTCATGATTTATCTTTTAACTTTATGATATGTGGCTCTTTGGCCTATAAAGTTAAAAAAAAAAAACAATAAGTTTCAAATGTTCAAAGAATTAAACTGTTACATCTGTATGTGTTTATAAAAGACAAGGTGTCAATCTACCTCAAGTAGGTAATCAACATGTGTTTTTTTATTGAAGGAAAATATTGTGAATGTTTTAAATGTTTTAAACCATGAACATAAAATTTGGAAGTGAAACAGAAATTACATAAAATTTTAGTGCTTCTTCAAATTTAATATAATTTTTTTTAGTTTTATATTTATATATATATATATATATATATATATATATATATTTGAGAATTCAAAATCATTTTTGAAATTTTAGTTCGAGTGGTTTTCCAATATATTAATTAGTGGTAAAATGATATTAAAATATTATCAGCTCATAATTTCTACAAAATTTAGACAATTTTTTTCAATGATGAATTTGGTGAAATAAATTTAATATGAAACAAATTAATAAATTGATTTTGTTGAGTAGGTATCTCTCCAATTTGTATTTAATAGAAAACTGAATTAATACATTATGGATGATGAAATTATATTTGTAACATCGTATTAAGATTTTGTCATAAATTATAATTGAATTTTTTGTATTATTAAAGGAAAAAAGGGGTTTAACAGTAGCAAGAAGGATTTTAATGTTTTGTGATAGCATTTTTTTAATTCATTGTACATTACATATAAGATCAATCTTGCATGTTGATTGTACATGTTTCCATGTTAATGTTATTTTATTTCTTAAAATTATATATATATATATATATATATATATATAAATCAATAAACCATAAATTTTCAAAATACATTCAATAAGTCCTGCTCATTATAAGTGTTAGATTTACTTGACATTCAGATATTAACCTCAATTTTTAATTTCCTAGCTATAAAAAAACATAATTTCTACCGTCACACTAATAACACAAAATTAATATCAATTGGGTTAAAACCATCAATGTAAAACTTATATAATAAAAATGAAAAAAAATATATATATATATATATTAAAATTTTTAAAATTAAAACTATCAATTGACAACATCTGGAATCTATGTTTTACACATAACAAGAAACTTGGATATATATATATATATATATATATTAAATATTGATGCTACAGTCTCAAAGAACTTTAATAAGGAATTTTTTTTACTTAAGGGGGGAGAAAGTGAGAGGTCAATATTTTTTTGATTCTTGGGATTGGTTGAATTGAGAAGTCTCTAAATTTCAGCAATGAAAGAATTATAAAAAAGAAGAAGTTGTGATTTCTTATGTTCTCCCTTTATTAAAGTGAAAGTATAAAGCCCCACTTTGATCACTTATACACATCTACACCTAACCTCTCCACGAAATAATAATAATAAATAAGTAAATAAATACTATATAAAGCAACACTATTAATTACAAGACCATGCCAGCCAAGTCACCTAAGGCCAGACCATCGCATCCATCCATCCATCCAGACAAATCACATTCATCCTTGAATTCGGAGCCCAAACGGGATCCCAAACGAGGAGGCATTTGGCGTTGGTAAGGCACACACGAGGAAGACAGAGGAGAGAGGGTGTGGCCATGTGCTCCTGCTGAGCTGGACTGTCCGAGGCTGAGCCCCGAACCCGAAGCCAATGGCACGGCGGATGGGATGTTTTGGGGCACCAGGGGAATGAATGGACAAGAGAGAGACTGCCCGTGGGCTAGAGATAGAGTCCTTGGGCGGTTCGGTAGCCCCCATGCCGAACTGGACCCACCGTTCCTCCAGCCCTCCCCCCCCATACTCGATTTGCCCCCGTTCCTCTAGAATCTGGGGGTCCTGGGTCCCATCGCCCCGCCCTTTTCTTGCTCTCTCCCCACTCTGCAATGAAACCGCCTCCTCCACGCTGGCACCAGGACTGTTTCATCACCTGTTTGTTTGCCCTCCCTCTCTCTCAACAAACATGAAGCGAAGTCCTTTCCACACATGCTGAGGGAGGTGGAACTCAGGTAGGCAGTGTCGAGGTTGAGAACTGTCCTACAGAATGATCCCAGTCAGGAGGGGGGTCGTGCCCTGCCCTGCCACACTGTCACAGTGGAGAGTGGAACGGGCCTGGTTTTGTGTCTGTCATATTCATTTTTAAAGTTTTTCTTTAAATTTATTTTGGATGACTTTTCTTTTTCTTTCTTTTCTTTGACATACATAAAATATACTTGTTCCAATGATTAGTAATTTGCAGAGTACATTAATGTCCATTAACGACTGTCAAAACCTTGGATGGTGTTAACAATCTTCAACAAATATCGCAACATGGAAGGATAATAATATGGTAAAGAAGATGGGATAGAAATGCAACTAGTTGTAGCACCATCAAAGAGTTAGGATAGAAGCTGTGATTAAGAAACATTTTAGGCATTATAAGAACCAATGAAGGGACATTTATGGCCCTCTCTCACTTCTTCCTAAATCAAATGTTCAATTGTGAATAAGACTAGCATGATTGCTTGTTGCATTTTTGGAAGTTGTGGTTAGGCAAAACACTGTAACGTTTTGTACTCAAATGAATAAAAGAGAAGCTTGGGTTCATTGTCTCTTAGGTCCTCATAACCCCATTGTGTAGCAAAGAAATACAATGCCAAAAGAATCAGTTACGTCTTAGGTGCATTGTTATAACATAGTTATTGTTCCATGGTGCACCATTGACTCACAAAACCCTGAGCAAACAATGACATATTTTCAAAAATTTTAGCATTTCTTTGTTGTCAAAATGAGATCCCTCCACTTTCAACTGTTAACTTCAAACCATGTTTTATTTTGGTTAACTATTGCACCCACAACTTATTCTTGTAACATCCAAAAATCCACAACAACCATTTTGATTCATATTAGCCAATATATTTAGACCATTAATTTTGTTATGTAATTCATGTAATTTAAAATAAAATAAAATAAAACTTGCAAGTTTAAGCTCACATACTGTAGAACAATTTTAAACACCTAACATACATTGATGATTCAGTTGTTATGTGTTGTTTTCATGTAGCTGGGCATGTATTTTTGACATGCATTCCAATAGCTCGTCTGATGCATTTTCAAACATCCAAGGGTGAGATGGATGATCAGATTTTATAGTGATTTATTTATTTAGTTAATTATTCATTTATTGGAAAGTGGTGGTGATTGGATGGGAGGCAGACAATTGGGCCCAGATAGGGCACCTCACCCTGCCCCATGATGTACGGAAAGTGGGTGATACAGATGAAGGGACTGGATGGACAGAGAGTGTGAGAGTAGAGTGGTGCTGGGTCCTAAGTAGCAGAGTTCAGATTAGTGCCCATCCACCTGTTGTTTGTTTGTTTGCTTGTTTGTTTGTTTGGGTAGTACGGCCCCCCCATTCCCACTCAACATTATATATATATATATATATATAGCGTTGTATAGTATCATATATTGCAAGCCATGGATGGTTTCCACTCACCATCACTTGGTGGACTTAAGTGCCAGCCCCCCCCCCCCCCCCAATTTGAAAAACTCTCCCCTCCTCTCCCCTCCTTTGTGGGTATGGATGGAAGGAATGGAAGGATGGATGGATGGATTCTGGATGTCAAATGATATTTCATTCATTCGTCTAGATGAAAAGTCAAAGGTTGTGATGGATGTGTTTGTTCCCAACCTCTTTTTTTGTTCCCCCATGAATGAGCTTGGGAACACTCAACCCATTTCGGGTTGTGTTGGACACACATCCCTCAACAAACTCTTTTTATACATCAATCCATTCATTTGTTCATGTAGAGAATATTGTGACACTGTGGTAGAATAGAAGTTGGGGGAGGAGGGAGGGTGTGTAGATCCCAATAGTATGTTTCTTTATAAAGACTATATATATATATATATATATATATATATATTATTGTAATTTACTCATGTAGTAGCACTTTTATTTAGATTTAGTAAACATGCTTAAACTCTTTGTTCTTTACTATGTTTTATAAACTAAACTCAATGTTGTAGCTTATAACTTTCTTCACAATGAAACCTTGGTTTGACTATTACACCTTTTGCATAACATTTGTTTAAAAAAATGTAACGAATTAAATAGTTTATGCTGTTATGTATCTAAGGGAAAAAAAAATATTAAAAACTTTTATTCTTGAGTCATGTAAATGTAACACAAAACAAGCAAGAGCATGGAGCTTTTCTATTGGGCACAAAAATACAAGTGCTTAAAGCTGATACATGCTTGTGGTATGCATCAAAAATTTGTTTAGATGGTATATTTTTATAACATAAAAATTTACATAGATTCGACTTTAGCAACTCATGCATTATTCCATTTAGTGGTATTTCAATGCTGGAAAAAACTGACATTCTAAACAGTCAAGATACCTTTGTACACAATCTCCAATCCATTTCTATTCTTGTGAGCACTGTTGGAGAAACATTAGGATGCCATTAATACCAATTTGAACAAGCACATCTATTTTGAATGAATCAGTGCTACCTATCATGACAATTCGGAGACCTAAACATAATATAAATTTAATTTTTTTGTAAAAAGCAGAGCAATGTAAACTTCTACTTAGGAAACTGGGAGGGTCCTCATTCCAAACATGATCCGAGTTTTTTCCACAAATATGAATGATCGCTGTTACCGACGTTGCAACATAACTAATGAACTGGGAACACTGAGTCTGCTTAGTTTTTAAGCCATCTCAGATCTAGAATCCCGGCGATGACCCACTTCGACAAGCTTGACAATAGGGATACATGTAACCACCCAACCTGATACATCGACGTTGTGCGGTCCTTCGGCGAATCTGTACAGTTGCTACGACGAGGAAGAAATAATAGCAGCTGCGAGATGATGGCTTGCAAGGAACTGAAAAAAATATACCTAACTCTCGATGCTATCTATGCATGGTACAAGTGTATATATAAAGTTGTAGATGGAATTACACAAAAGCCACCAGTCGATCCCGATCGTGCGAAATATGCTGGTTAAAATGACGAGTTGACGCAGAACTTGGTCGATCATTATCTGCAGTTTCTCGACGTGAATGACGCATTGTCGGTGACGTCTTCGGTTAAATCTGTACCAAAATTGGGTTGCCATCCTGCAGTTGTCTAACAGCAGAAGTAAGAAAAATAGTTTTTAGGATTATCAGTGCACACGGGCTAGAAGTAAAGTTGGGGAAAGATCTAGGTAGTGGAGTGGTGATTCATACCGGGAATTGATCAAATAGACTCGAAGAAGGAGCCCTGCAGAGATCGTTGTACACTGGATCTGCAATTCTGGGGCATGATGTCATACAACCCTCCCGGCGAGGAGCTTGTTAGAGATCCAAAGGGGTGATCGGAAAATGGCAGCGGGTCAGACCCAATCTCTACGTCGAAGCCTAGCATTGTCGACATCATGTTGTCCATCGCTGACGGCATATGTATTGCATTGCTTTCGGGGACCGATGCGGCGCCGACTGCAGGGTGCGAGTGCGAATGTGTGGGAGAGGGAGAGTACGAGCAGGCGTGGCTGATGTCTGACCCAAAGAAAGGCGCGGGGATCTCACTCAAGGAATATGGTGTCTCGCGTTGTGGAAAGGGGAAGGTGAAACTGTTAGAGGGGCTTGATAAGTCACTTGTGTCGACGTTGCTGCCCGTGGTGCTGTTGTTGTTAAAGCTATGTGTTGTGGAGTCCACATTAGCTCTTCGCACAAGAGGATCGCCACCGCAAGCAAGTCTCTGCAGTACTACATGGTCACTAAGTGGGCCGGTGAAGCTCTCAGAAACTTGACCTAAGGGATAACCTGCCACCTGTATGTCCCCGTTCGTACCAATTGTATCGCATGCTGTTTTGTTTCGAGCTCTTAGTCCGGATTTCTTACGTGACTTCCCCGTCAATTTCTGAACCGTTGACCTGAAGTTGGCAACGTCTGTTTGGATTATCTTGGGAGAAAAAATGTGGATCACTCGAATGGCTGGAGCTTGCACGGTAGGCTGCATGTCGCGTCTGATCGGAGCAAGAACTCTCCCGCAAAAAGCTGGTTTCTCAATGTCATGCGAATCCTTGCTCACACCCATGGACTGTATTTGCAACCCCTGTTGAGTCTCCACTGCCACACGCGGTGCCATTGTTTCCTGTTTCTCAAGCACCCGCTGGAGTAGTTTAAGAACTATCAGCCACTATGATCAAAAAAATTAACCTGTCACTAGAGAACTTCCTGTGTCCCGTACTGACTACGCTTGCTGAGGAATTTCCTGGCGAATCGACAGACAGTATGATTTGTGGTTCGCGTGAGGATCTCAGATCTTTGGCCGTTAGGGTAGCACTCTCAGCATTGCAGCTACTTCTGGATGCAGTCTGTAATCTTGGATGGCTTCGTTTCAGCAATTTGCATGCAGGAGCTCTTTCGAGGGAAACTTATGCATATATACATATATATATATATATATATATATATATTCGTGAGATCAGAGCTTCTTACTCACTCTACTAGACTTGATTACACTCCGCCTTTACAGTTCTTGACAACGGATTGTGGAAAAAAATCTCTGATCCATAGATCTACTTCACTTCCACAAATGGGAACTCCTCTGCATTATCAATTTTTTCAAATCTCTCGATTTTTTTCAGCGGCTACACAAGTTATCTTCCTACCTTCAAGGGCGGCTTTCAGTTTCCATCACGATATCTGGTCTACTTTCAGAATACTATCCTAGTGTTGTTTCCTAGATAGACACCAAATCTAGCACAGACACGGAAGGTAAGAAAGTCTACCAGGAAGAGTTTGCCACAGGTGAGCTATGGTAGACACAGAGGGAGCCTAAGGCTCTCAACAGACGAACCTGATAGTGATGGAGCTTCACTGCAGTGTTGAAATTCAGCAAAAGTAAGAACTCCCCATAGGATTCACCTTGTTAGACACCGGTCTACCATGAATGCAACGACTTCCTAACTACAAAGGGCGATGATGACGAAAATCACTAGAACGCGAAGGTCTCACCGATCATTAACACACCACATAACGGACAAAGAGGACGCTGTATGCACTATGAGAAAGGAGCAGTTTTAGTACTTAGATCAATACATGACGTAGAGCAAGTAGTGCAGCTAGCGCTGAACGAGGTGTCCGCAGTGAAGAAAGCTCTGCAGACTCACACGAGACGATTATCAGACGATGGAATGAACTATTTCCCTTTGCACCTCAACCTTTTTGTAGTGCGAACCCTCAGGTCCCACCCTACGCGCCTAGATCCCCGACCCGTAGGCACCAAACAGTAGCTGCAATCGAAGCTAGTGTCGTCACCCCCAAGAAACCCAGTCATCATCCCGCCCCAGCGCTGTTTTTTTTTTTTTTTTTTTTTTTTTTTTTTCATTTTTTTCTTTTCTTCTCGTAAAGCTGTCTCCAGCCCTTCTATCTTCTCATCATCAGCTCCGAAACCGCCACAGAACCACCAGCATGACACTGTTCCTACATTCCCACCGGGTCCACAGTTCGTCCACCCTTTCAATCAGCAAAAGTGCGTACATATCCGCCAGAAAAATAAAACATAATTTACCCTCAGAACAAAGCAATTCCTAAACATGATTTAAAATGAAAAACTTTCTCATAATAAAAACTTTAAAATAGAAAAATGGGTGACCACCGCCACGACCCGGAAATCCGGAAATCCGGCACCGAAACCCAGGCCACCCAGTCCTCAACGCACCACCTGGGGAACCGTAACTAGGACAGATCATTGCTAATCTTCGGCAATAAGCCCAGTGGTTTGATGCAGCTTCCAGCATGTATCGGAGGAGCTCGAAGGAGGAGAATTCATCGCTGCTTCCTCGTCGACGCCTGGGACAACCAGAAAACCAGGGCTGGTTGTCGGTCATGGTTTTGACTAGTTCCATGCAGTGAGCAACTGTTGCTTTTTTTGTCTCATATGCACACTTTCGTGGTTGGCACCATCTCAGACTTGGTTTCGAAATCTAACCCGGATTCCATGCACAGCATCGATGAGTCTGGATATGAAGTGTGTTGGGCACACGATGCAGTGGGTGGCAAGCCTGATCACATTTGTAGAATCACCGAGAATGTGTATTAACTTTACTCTCGAGGATATGCAGGTTTTCACAAATATCCGCAGAAATGCATCTCCTCAATAGAATACATTCAGGCAAAGTGTGACAGGGAACATGAAAGAATTGAGGTAGATAGGTACAGAGGTAGAAAGGTATATTGATTGACTGATTGATTGATGGATTGATAGGTTAAATAAACATATAAAACATTGCTTGTAATTTCTGATCATGAAGAAAGCTAACATTCTGCGTGATTTTGGACCTTTATTTTTTTCTTTCTCTGCTTTGATTTATTATGTAGAGAACAGACACATGTGTATTTGGGCACATGAATAGTTCTTATGAGTTTCAGGTAATTTGTTGCTTTTCAAAGCTATTTCTAATGGATTCTAATTTATGTTCAGGTTGAAAACATTGCAGGTCGGACCACTGAAAAGAAATTGCTCTCTTTTTTTTTAGTGTATGTTTATATCCTTCCTGGAGTTATTTTGTGTGTGTGTATGTATATATATATATATATATATATCTTCTAAATTTATCTTAATTTGAAAATTATAGCAACTAAGCAAAGTGTATTATTATGTTTTTCAAATTTTGATTACTTTGAGGCATTGAAACATATGTATATATATAATTACAAATTATTTAATAATTTATATTAAAATCTTATAGAATTCCTTCTTTGATCATGCATTCTCTTTTTTTTTTCAAATATTGTATAACAAAATCTCATTACTTATTTTATTTTCAATTTTTTTGTTTGTGATATAATCACAAAAACAATCGAAATAAAGAAAATTTTAAAACATATATGTATATATAATGATCTTAAATATTCAATTTTTTTGGCAAGTGCATTGTTATTATTGTTATTATTTTTACTTACAATGTATCTTTAACTTTATTTTTAGTTTAATGTTGTCAATTCGGTATAAAGTGCAACTATGAATATTTTGTTTTATGTGTTATTTCTGGATGTATGTATGTATGTATGTATATAAAAAAATGTATGTGTGTATGAGAGATAAATTTAGCTCCAAAAAGAACCATTAATTTAAAGAATAAAACACTAAAATATAACATATGTGGTTATCATTTAATAGTGTGCATGAAAATAGCAAATATGTTATCTTAATTAATGATAAAATATATTAAGCGCTAATATTTTGCCAACAAAGATTTACGTTTTGACTCTATTCGGATTGAACAATTACAGACATGGATAGAACAAATCATAACTTTTACAATGTTTTTCATTTGTTCTAGCAGAATCAAATGCATGAATAAATTAATGAAGTGAACAAAAATATGAATCTTTATTAGAGTTATAAAAATCCAATATTGTCTTGCACATCTTTTGGGAAGACAACTCATCACCGTCTTAAATTTCTAGCTTACATGTTTAGTCACGTCACAAGCAATACATGATGCTTAACCATATCTTTGCCAGTATCATTGGTATCAACCTCTTGCTTTCCCAGGCTCTTCAAGATCCAACGTTACTACAATCCTGCTTTACATTAGCTTGCTATTGGCTTTGTATAGCCCATCTTCTTCTGCAACCGTTCTTCTGTACAATTTGAACCTCTTTTTCTTGAGTGCTGGCATTTAATGTCTATCTCCATTGAACCACAAAAGTCCTTCTGAGGGTGATTTTGCCTCCTGCAAGTTCACATGCTACTTAGATACTGTATTTATTCAAATATGTATGACATAACCTTGACCAGAACCTGAACTTGGAACTAATTCGCTTCCGCAGGCTCGAGCATTCAATGCAGATTAGAGCATTCACTAAGAATCGGCCTTTTCAACAGTCCGAACGATATGAGGAAAATGATCAATCATTTCCAGTGTCTTACATGGTTCAAAAATGTGGAGTGATAATCAGGATCTCACCAGTTTCTTGAAGACGTATCTTGGTTTCTCTTGTTTGTGAGAACCTGGTAGCAACCACGCTGCTGAGCGTCGTCGATTAGTGAACCCCATGTGGGACTCCATTTTTGCAGTGTCTCCGCATGCCCAACAACGATAAGTGAATACTTTGCCCTTGTCAAAGCGACGTTCATTCGTCTCTCATCTGATACAAATCCCAGCCCACGATCTGCCATTGCTCGAACACAAGACAGCACAATCACATCCTTCTCCCTTCCTTGAAACCCGTCCACAGTATTAACTTCACAAGCAGTGGAGTCAATACCACGCCTCGCGAGCTGGCCTTCGATTACTCCTCTTTGAGCAATGTAAGGCGTTATCACTCCTACATTAGGTTTGAGGCCCGAAATCAAACCTTTAACTACACTTTCAACCACATTGCACACTACAAGTGCTTCTTCAAAGTTCGCTCGTGAGTGCCCTACAAGTTCTTCTCGCTCAGTTCCCCAACCAACATCCATGAAGCAGTAGTGCCCTAGCTTGAACCTACATCCTCGTATAATGATACCCCCCACACATACTTCATCAGTGAAAATGGACTGCATGCTGCTGACCCGAACTGAGTCTTTCAGAGCACCTCCATAGAACTGCCGAGAGGGATACAAGCAAATGCTTGGGTGCATTCGGTACTGGGTATTGAGCACAAGGACAGGAACACCTCCCTCCTCGAACCGCTCAAACAAACTACGTCCATACGCCGCACCTAAAAGTAGAAGCAGATAAGTTCGATTGGCCATCAAGAAATCATCATCATCTCTAACACAATAGTGTACTCCAAAATCACTGTCTATGCTTCAAAGAATGCCTTTCTCAGCACTACCCCAATCTGCAGGCTACAACACTGCTCTTGACCAATATGAGCAAGTAACACGTATATTTTTGTTGAGAAAGATGTTAAGCATCATAACTGGGTCGTTGAAAAACAGTCGCAGGCAATTGTCGCGGATCGCCCACCATCACACACCTGCCTCTGACCCGTTTTAGTGCTATGACTACCTCTGCCTCGACTGCCTGCAATCGAAATAATAAGTGAAACATAATGCTAAATGAAACTTGCCAAACATTCTATTCAACCCATGCCAAATCTACCTAATTAATATCGTAAACCATTGGAGCATACTAGGACCATGAGTTCAGCGGTAATCATAACATACCTGAGCTGCTTCATCTTAGGACGAATCGCATGCACGACACACATAACAAGCAAAAGGTCGATGAGACTTTGTGGATGGTGTAGTGTTATCAACATGAAAATTGCAGTGTTTGTGATTTCGCAACAAATTGCCAATAACTAAGATTTACTTTCTTACCAAAAAGTATGATGCACACATGTGAATTCCAGCATCAGCTGTTCATCCTTCAAACCTATCATAAAACATCTCTACAAATTGTTCATAAACTAATCCTCGGCAAGTTAATTTCTCGACCAATCAAAGCTTAAGAAAAGATTGGTTCTAACCATTATATGTACCAAGAACACAGAGTTGACTCAACTTACCAACAATAATGACATCAAACTTGTTTTCCAATTCATCAAAAGTTGTGTTCCCGCAACCACTCAGAGTTGCACAAACAACGCTTGCTCCATCCAGAAGATCCACCCAGGACTTAGAGCGATGAGAACTTGACGGGATCCGAGCACATAAAGTATCAAGGGATATCGAGTGCACAAGAGGGTGAATGACTCTCTTTGACCCGAAACGGACAATGGCTCCATCCACGGGGCTGTAAAAATCCCCAGACTTATCCAACATACGATTTACAAGACGAGCTGCTACCTCATCCAGGGCCGCATTGGAAGGGGCACATACCAATATCCTGACACTGTTCAGACACAGAATCGCGACAGTTTAGAATCATAAGTACATAATCAAAACTTTCACCTTTAGAAAATATCGCAGAAACACATTTTTACTAGCCACAGCTCACTTAATGCACCAAACTTAGTAAAACTGTGAGTATCGAATGTAATATAAGTAATTACCAAAGCAGACCATATGATCTTACCTCGGCTCTTCGATTAGTAACGATGATACCATCCCTATTACCCCAGCATACAAGCACCCTGAATTAGCACATAAGACACGAGAAATATCTCACAGAGCGAAAGCACTACATAAGGTTGACAATATTATGTTCTGCTACTCTGAAATGCGAGAATTCAGTGGGATAATCAAGCTAAGTTTAAGAAATAGGTACTTTGTGTAGTGATGATAATATTAATAACATTTAGGACGGCCTACACGCAGTTGACACCTACCAATAATAGTCGATGTCTGCAAGTTCGGAGATGGCCACATATTCAGTAGAAGTTAGAATCTGACAGGTAAGTGAGACTTCAGACAAAATCAGAAGAGACCAAATATTACAGGCAATGAGGGCACAAATAGCTACATACAGATCGTTATATTTTCAACCAATATAACATTCAACATAACCTCTGACAACCTTGGAACCACAAGTGTACTCGGAGCAGAATAGTATTACGTGAACAAGGTTAGGTGATAATCAAGGTGAGATGGAATAGGGTGGGGCTCCATGAACAAGGCAAGAGGTGTAATGGCACAAGATGTAGATTTGTACCAGAAACGATTATTCCAAATTATTTGGTAATGATTCTTTCCTAGCGGTCCTATCAACCTATGGTGTAGAACGTTAGCTTCTAGTAATTTTCCGGTTGACTTAAAATTTACCAAGTTACTTCCGAAACTAAATCTCCGAGCAATGCTCACATATCTTCTCTCCCCTGGTGGGCAGGATTATGTAGTCTCATCGCTTGCACGTATGGCATATTTAGAAATAGATAAGGGATAACTGAACATACCTTCCCAGTTCCAGGTGGACCTGCAAAGACATCAATAACAGTGAAAGATCAAACAAAGAAAAGACAGTTAATAAAGAGGCGCCCAAGGAAAGACTAGATTTCAAGACGCGAAACAGAAGAACAATCGAACGAATATTACTAGTATATCTTATGTGAGTATCATCGTTATCTACTTAAAAACATGCATACAAAAAAATCATATACAACACAAGACCAACCTTGTACAAGTTGAAAACCCTGCCGCATATGTAGAAGGCAAGAAATAGACAACAGCTGCGAAGTGTTCAAACGCTTGCGATCATTGAAAGTTCTCAGAAATTCAAAACTCAACTCTATCCTAGTATCACCATCTACAGTATCCCCAAGCGTTGTTTGAGGTCTCAGGAACTTGATATTTGCAAGTGGATCCAAGATCTGCTGCTGCATAGGACTAAAGATATCTGATATTGTTGAAACTGCCAGGTACATGCGGCGTAAAGACACCATGTTACACAGCCTTAATAGAACACACTGCAGACACCAAGATGAACCACATGTTAGTCACATGTTAGACTCCAAACCAAGTACATACTTATATGGTCCCAAATGCTGATAAACTTCCACTTGAAAAATAGATTACCTTGCCTAAAGAAGAGCCCCAGGGAACTCGTGTTCTCAATAGGGGAGCTTGATTACGACCTTGATAATGGACAATTGCAACAGCCTTGACTTCTTTTGTTTCTGGTAGGGTTATACACAGAAACTCTCCAACATCAAAATTTACATTTGGACCCTCCATCCATTGAGCTTCGAAATAGTGAAATGGATCACCCATTGTCTGAACCATGCTTCTCATTTGCCATCTTGATGACTGTGCCCTAGAATCCTCTGAGAGGAATATTCATTTACTGCACATTAGTAAACCACAATGTAGGAAAGCTACACAATGTAATTAACATTTCTTAATAAGCATATCTTTAGAGAACTGACTCCAGCATTGCTGGGGAATGCAGGTATAAACTTTTATTGGTGTCTTTGCATTGTTATTGGTGTCCAGCATTGCTAAAGATTACAATAGAATTCAGTAAATAATGAGTCTCACTGGAAAAATATTTCTACACCAAGTGGGAGAGAACGTACGTGATTCTGTCAAAGCCTGAGAACTCGAATCCTGTTCTGCTTTGAAACGTTCCCAGTCACTAAGAAGTACCGCTTTTACTTCTTCACCTACCAACTTCTGAAACATGGAAACATATGATGCAATTGATGGAAACTTTAGTGGCAATGGTAGCTGATCTTTCACTGTAGAAGCTCCAAGAGATTTATCGTCTGAAGCTAGAGGCAGCCAAGGACCCTGGAGGCCTAAAGCCATCCAGTCAAAATGGTCTTCTGGGGAAGCATCCGATGATAAACATAATGTTGATGCAGCTTTGGACACATTGGGTTCCCTAGCTCGTCCCAAAGATGCTCTCTCAATCTGAAAATGTAAAAGAGTATTTGGTATGAAGATATCGAACTGGTCACTTCAGGATGATTAACAAGGTTCGAATCAACATCCTATACTAACAAAAACCAAAAGAATGTAGCAGTTGAACGGAAAACTAAATCACAACAAAGTCAAAGCATCTAACAATCTAGGTAGCAATTAAAAAGAATATGATTGAAATTACAAGTCTGATTGTCAAAAGAACTTTCCATTGATGAAGTAACTAAACATCCATCAAGCTCAGCAAAAAACTATAGATTTCCACATGTGAGAACAAGGAATGGAGACAAAACAAGCATTAAGACGTGAAAGAAGGCGCTGAGATCAGCATCAACCAAAATATTAAAATTTGAGTGACGTTGAATTAAAACTTTGTGCACTTACATGAGCATGCCGTCTGTTCTTGCTAGTACAGTCATCACTGCTGCTCGAGGATTCTTCACTTTCCTCAGAACTACTTGAAGGAGCCTTGGACTTCGGCTGCCATGTAATTCTTGCTATCTCTTCAGACATAACTTTCTTAATTGTCAATGGACTGAGCTCTTGCTTCGTTAAGCTCTCCGAGGCACTACTGGAAGAAGGCGAACTCACCTCCTCTGAATCGGAGTCTGCAGGCTAAAAACATTCAAGCCTCAATTTAGTCGAAAAAAACTGACATAAATTGCACCGAAAGCCCTTAATTCCAATCCCAGGTTGCTAGTCTACAGTGAGAAAATAGATTCTCCTCCACTCTCGAAAAAACTGTGAAGTAAATTGCGCCAGAGGAGTCAACAACTTCCATAATAGACCCGCGATTATAGTATCAACTTTTTGAGATAAATCAGTAGACAGTTACTATACATTTCAGGTGGTAAACATAACACTTAGCTTCTTTCGCAGACTCTACCCACCAAAATCCCTCAAATCTGTCACATGCCCACCTTGATATATCTTGTGGAACCAGCTTTAATGTCATTGAACTCACTACTGGATTCTTCGGATCCAGTCGCTGCGTCTTCATCGCTAGGTGATTCTTCATTCGATAAATCATAGTTGTCATTACTACTGCGGTCAGTGTTGGGCTTCTTCTCAACAGTCCTAATTCCCAAGACACAGACAAAAATGAGAGACGAACAAATTAAATAAATAGCAACATAATAAAACAGTGCTTAAACCTTGATTTGAAGCCGATAGATCAAAAGTAGAGATGATCACTTTGTGGAAATTTCAGTAGGATTTGGTGCTGACTTCCTCGGAGATTGCACTCCCAGTTTCTCCCTGCGAACCCCGTCTTCTAATAAGTCTGTATCATCACCGTAAGCCCAGTCCATAACGTTTCTAACCCCCTTTGAACTAGAACCAGACGTGGAAGATGATAGGATCTGGGTAGGTATCAAGTGTCTAGCAGGACATATCAACACGACTTCTTTCTTCTTATTTGCTTCATCTGCTATCGTAGCAACATATTCGTGTGTTGATGATGGTGACTCGAGTTGCTTCGTAATTCTTGCTACACTCCACAAAGAACAACGTATGTCATATGCATGGTAAACGAAAAATTCACAAAATTCACAACCTCAAACATACACACACACAGGAAGGTCACGTGACTTATACATTCTTCAGAAAAGTAAGATCCACTTCCTGAAAAACTCCCTTCGAAATATTCTATACCTAAGCAGTCTTATGCATAAGTTAAAATATTCACATAAAATTCACATAAAATACATACAGAATATTAGAGCCCCACCACTATCTGGCTCACTAGAATATGGAAGACTATTGTTGCCAGACTTCGAAGCATCGTTCCCGTTAGGATAATCATATATTTCGATGGCAATTTCAAATGGCTCACTGACTTCATGACCTGAAAGATAGCCAGGACACCCGATTGTAGGATATATGAGGTGATGTATGCAACCAGAACTAAAAGACTTGCTATGGCTACACTACAGGTCTTGATTGTAGCAACGATCCAGGACATGCATATACCAGCTTGAACATCATCCCCGTAGCTGCACAATAAGAACTCGATAAAATACCACTTTCGAATCTCAGTGTACCACACAAGACAGAATACCAGTCAACAAAACGAATACCATAGAAATTTTTACAACGACATTGACCAGAACGCAGCTGATAATGAGATTATGAGGTGAAATACCGCAAGGAAACGTGGGAACCGAGAAGCTTTTAAAGAGGTAGGAGTAGTGGGCCCGAAGTGCATCCAGCTCTCGCTCCAGCCTCTCCACCTCCATTTGCCTGACCTTCACCAGGTCCACCAAAGCTTTCTCTGCGGCCTCTTGTAGCGCATTCTCCGCCATATATAAACCACTCTGAATCGACCAACAATTGAACAGTATCGTCTTAAACGTAGACTTCTACTCCTGAACGTGTTATTTTCATTGACAGAATAATTCAAAGCACAATGAGAAACCAATTAAAAGCACGAGTTCAAATCCATTCTTCACGTTGATTGAAGACGCTTGCAACACGTCGATAGTCTCGCCACAGGTTCAAGGCTTCAAGAACGTACATACATGAAGGGCAAAGTCAATTTGATGAGGAGTGTTTGTCTTCATCTGAAGCGTAGAGAGAAATACATCAGCTACCGAACAAAGAAACCATGCATACGTTCTAACTGCCCTGAAAAAGATCACATATAAGTAAACTAAAATTCTCTCAGATCCAAGTCCATTCATGCACCATATCCTTAAATATCGTACCCAGAAAGGAGAATTCAAACAATCGAATTACGATAGTGAACAAAAAGTATCGCTCTGCCTTCCTTGCTTCCCCCATTGACCACTACACCATCTAAAGGCAACCCAAACAACGAAAACTCACGTTGAACGCAAGCACCTTCGCTATGAAGCTCAACATCGACGGCATTGCCCACGACCCAAACTACGAATCGTTGAAAATATTAACTTGGTTCCATACCTGGTTACAATGTTGATTGATTCATGAATGCACGTTACATTGTCATCTAGCCGACCACAACCTCACAATAGAAAAATGCAAGGGCGAATGATCCCGTGGTGAGGAAAGCTAACGACCGCCAAACTCTTTCCTAGATTGGGACTTTAAGGCTGTAGACAACGAACGCCCTTAAACCCTAAACCCTTGTTGAGTCCAGCTTTCAGGGTCATTGTTCCGATCAAAATCGATTTGAAGGGGGAGGTTATTTCAATTCACTACCACTAAAGATCTATTTTTCTGTTCATTCTATCTTTCATTAAAACGACGCTTATCGAACTAACAAAGTTTGTTAAGATTTTAAACTATGAAACTGAGAGTACTGGCACCAAGGAAACCGATTGTTAAAGCAGTCATTCACATTCCAAATCTGAATCTGGAGGTTGGGTGAGTACTCTTTATGGTATTTTGCTTCTTCCCCGTTATCGTTTACACCTGCATGGAGCATCTCAGACCTGAATATTGCTTTGTTATTGCTCTCGCCTTCGTCATAAAGACATTATGACAAAGGAACTATTTTAGTGTGACAGCTTGATGTATCAAATTAGACGTTGGATGCATTAAGTGGTTAGAGTGGTAGGCTTCTATGCTTATTTATGCTTTGACAGCCACAACAAAGGTCATGAATAGGAGGTCTTATCACGTTGCAAGCTTTGTATACTTCATCAACAATGACAAATGAGGCACACTAGAAAAAGCAAATCAGAGTGCAGGTTACAATGAAATTAGCACCGAGTTTCGTAAACAGTATTCCACTTTGATATTTCAGAGTTACATGCTGTGTGAATAATGCATGATTCACATCAGTGTCACTACAGTAGTAAAGAGAGGCAGATTATTCAGGTCACGATTACAAACGAATGTGCAACATGGAGAGAACTGTTACATGAGGAACTGTCACATGTAGACAAAAGATTAACTGCAAGTTATATCAATTATGAGAGAAACGCTCAACATGTCATTCATGCCCAGAAGTAGCAGCAGAACCTGCAAGAACTGGCTGCTACCCTGCACCAGCAGACAGTCGCAAGAGCAGTGTGGGTTTTATGTTCTGTACATAGACGCTCTTCAACAAAGATGATTCAAAGATCGAATAGAATTGGGGTCAAAATGACGTCCAACACTAGCCTGCAGCACGCTGCACCCACTGCCAATGTCCAGGACACTGACTAAGTGGCGTGTTCCCTTCATTGTCAGGCAAATTCATATCAGCTCCATGCTCGAACAGGTACTTAGCAACTTCTTCCAGCTCGCATACTGTTGCGTAATGTAATGCTGTCTGTCCCTCTAAATCCTGCAAAATAGCATGATAAAAACTTCAAAAATAGAACAAAAAAACAAACAAGCTAACGTTTATGGATATGACGATACAATGAAACTATCCTTTTCCACAAGATGAACGACTGGGAACTTTAAGAACGCTACCAAGGGTATTGCTGCTCCTGGTAATATCCTTATCTTCAGAGCACACTCTCCCTCAAGCTATGCGTTACGGTGTACATGAACTTGAAATTGAGAATCCTAATTTTTCATAACATGCGGGACACGATCCATAACTAATACATAGCAAACAACGTAACATATACATGCTTCAGATTTGGTGAGAGTTTCCCAAGGGAAAAAAATTGTGTAGTTTGGAAACACACCTTTGCATAAATTTCCGCACCCTTTGCTACAAGAATTTCCACAGCACGCAAATTACCACGATCTACAGCCCAAATTAAAGGCGTACGACCATCACTGTCTGCATTCACAACGAAAGTGTTCCACTAGCCGTTAGATAGCGAACTTTAAAATTTTCAAACAAACATGGATCAAGTATGGCACATGAAGAAAAAATTTCAAGAGCTATACCATTTCCAATAGTAGCAGATAGACCAAAAACGTTCAAGTATTCCTTCAATAAAATTAAATGACAGGCAAATAATCAACCGACCAACATATGATATTATGGTCCATTCACTTAAAGATATAATGACATGAATCTCCACACTTGACGTAAGGTTCTACATTACCCCTTACAATAAATTATCGAAATTATCGAAAAAAAATTAAAAAGGACAAACAAGAAGAGCACAGAGTGTAAAGGAAAATGTAAAAAGTGAAAAAATATCTAAGTCAACCAAAAATGTAATTGTACTAAATCATCTCAAGGACAAGCTCAAGGAATAAAAATATACCCTTCACATTAATGTTACTGCCCTGATCGAGAAGTTTGGCAATACTTTCTATATCCCCATCCCTAGCATATGCATGCAGTGGATCCATGGTGCTGCAATACAAAACAACCACAAATAAGACAGAATAACCAGGGCACAAATATGAACCAAGGCGAGGACACTACTTAGTACCTTAGCAACCATAAGAAGATACTCAAGATGTATTTACAGACTAGACTAACGCACAATGTACTAAAATACAATTTACATCGATGAAAATATAATGAAAGTGGCGCCACAAGGAGCAGCATGCTTCATGGGATATCCAAGATCGTCACGGAGAAATAATACCTTGCCTCTTCTCCACCATCCTCATTCCCGACTAGAGAGCTGAAAACTGGGCCGGGTCCCATCTTCTTATTGCTAGCTTGGGAAGAGTTTCTTCCGAGCTCCTCTGTGGATTCCACAAGTGGATCTTTATTCTGCATCAACGCCCACTATATTTTAGAGAGAACATGGACAGGATACATCAACATAAATTCATGAATTCAACGCCAAAACTCAAAAGGATGGAAGAATAACAAGGAGAAGCAAAGTCCGAATTGTTACCTTTCGTTGGCCCTGATGCCAAGTGGGATCAATCGCAGTCAAAATACCGACATATTTTTGCATAGCTTCCTCTTGAGGCATGTTTCCAAGCTTCTGCCATGCATTCCTTGCACAAATAGATGGTACCACAACGGTCGTCCAATTTATAATCCGCTCTTAATGCCTGCGATTGTAACCTATGTCACAGCTTACTCTACTGTACCCTTTACATAAATCTGTGATCTTAGATGGGTTAAGCTCAAGCAAATCCGAACAAGATTTCCATATTCTCATAAATGTCGAAGCATAGTACTGCGATGTAATCATTTTGATTAACAAAATCTAAAACCCAGGATAATTGTTTCAATGATTTACTAAATCAAGTTGATAAACAAGAACTAGTACTGCAAGTCATTCGAGCAAGCAACATTGACTTCCTAAAAGTACATCACATTAGATCAACCTAACTTACAAGGACAAAGATCAAGTGGTATACCATTTGGCGCGGGCAGAAGGTTGAAAAGCTGATGGCTGAGAGGTAGAACAAGGCCCTTCCGTAGCTATTTTGTAATGTGCGTATAATTGCAGCATCGCTTCACTTGACGGCTTGACACCTGGGATACTGACCAAAGATGCGACATACGTAGAAGCAGCTCCAAAGAGCTCCTCAAGCTCAGTACTTTCCACACCTTCCCAATCGTCTGTTTCATTCCCTTCCTCGGATTCTTTTGCCGCATCTTCACGCTCCTCACTCACCTAGAACGGAAAAGAAAACAAGCAATTTAGAGTTACCACCAAAGCAATTCACCAAATTACTACACCAATATTGATACCAATTGTCGAACAGGGGTTTCAAAACAGAACCAAGTACAGGTGCAGGTTTAGCTTTGAGAAGTTGATCCAAAAAGTAAGAATCATATTTTGCAGTTTGTAAAGTTCTTCGGCACTTGCATGTTCCAAATTGTTCATATAGATTAGTGTCTTCAACAGTGAAAGATTCCGATTCCCTTTATCAATTCTAGGGCTTTACAGTATTCGTAGGGTAGAACCCATGAATCGGAAAGTTTGCAAGTAGCGACAATAAGTCAGTCCGGGTGACGGGTATTTGCTAAGTAAGAATCATTTGAAACAAACTGACCGCACAAATTATGACGTAAACTCCGTAATAAGATAGTGTTAACCTATTGGAACCTTGCTCGATTACAACAACATTTTCGCAAGTGTTAACTGCCGATAGAGGGTAGTGCCCAAATCAATCACGTAGGAGTGCGGTATAAATGATGTTCAAAATAAAATAAAATAAAAACTGAAAGACAAGTTCAGAAGAGAAGATACTGGAAAGTGGATGCAACAATCAAAATATGAGCAGCAGGCTTACTGTCAAAGGGTCACTGCTGGAAACAGCAACCCTATCATCCGATTTCAAATCTGGCGCTTTGACATCAATAGTATCCTTAGGTTTGTTCTCATCATTCTCAAATGCGACCTTTGATTGCCCTGCAGCATCAGTGACATGAATATCTCGAGAACGATGGTCCTCATAGTCAGATGAAGAGGAAGAATCATAGCCTTGAACCTCTTGTTCGTCCCCTCCATCGTCAGCATCCAATTCCTCCTCAATAGGAGCGTAAGGAACATTAAGCTCGGCTGCAGGAGCATATTCCTGTTCGTCAAAGGTCGTCGAAAGGAGAGGAGTCGCAGTGTCCTGGCCACCCCGCTCAAGTCGAAATTTCTGATCACGGATGGATGATATAAGCGTGAAGAGTCTGCCACACATGTAAGCAAAAACAATACCGATGATAATAGACTGCAGAGCTTCCTGCCACTGCCAGTCCGCCATTGCTCTCAATGAAGGATTCTCTTCAGAAATAAAACTCCAAAAAAGCCTTTTCTCCTCCGTTCAGCACGATCAACCTTCGCTGCCGCAGGTGTGAGGCAATATCGGCAACCAGTTGCTCGTCGAATGTATCTCAAATTCAGTCAGAAACCGAACCAGTTCCTGGAACGCGTCACGACTGGGATGAAAAAGATCAAATTTCCAAACCCTAGATTTGGATTCTCCGTTTCCTTCCTGATCCAACCCTATCCTGTCATTTATCTGCCCTTACTCGGCACCAAAATGCCCTGAAAACAAAGTACGCCGTGCGACCAAGCTTCAACTTTGTAGCAGAGAACCAACGAGAAGAGCGACTAAAAACACGATCCGCATCTACAGTAACTTAGCTCCTTCTACGCCTACTACACTCGATTTAGTAGAGTAATTCCGCATAAGCGTCACGAAGCGCGGCGCCCGTCACTAGCACTGCATGATCAGCAGCAACAAATTCATTCCAAGACAAGGTCACCCGCGGCCAGAAAGAATCAAGGCAGACTCGAAGACAGAGAGAAAGGGGGCCAGAAACATCAAACTGACGCCGTACTTGACAGGTTTCAGCCCGAAGCGTAGCAGATTGGGGAAGAGAGAAGAAGGAAAAAACAAACAAAGATTAACTTTGAAGCAAGTAAATATTGGTTCAAAAATTAAAACAAGATGAAAGCGCGACAGGAGAATTTTGCGTAGAAAAGTGGAGCGCAGCGACTGTTAAGCAAGGCAAGTCCTCCGCCTCTCCCCCCACGTCTCCCTCCCCATTCCCACCTGCTCCCACCCTCTGCCGTTTCCCCCTTCGCCACTACCGCTGACTCTGACGCTAACTCAGACGCGCGCGTTAGCGTCTTTGAGACGCATCGCGGCTGCCTGACGCGACCGCGCTCTGCCGCTTCCGCGGTTACGGGGGACATTTTTGGTGGTTATGGGTGGGCAAGTCCACGTCCTCACCATCATCCCGATCCAACTTGCGATCCACTCATGCGGTTCGAACTGGGATCCAGCTGTTCCCAGTTCCCATGTTCCCGTTCTCGAGTTATCATCATCCCCCACCTTATATTTCCAATAGGAAATGGGAAAATATTAATTGTAATATATTTTATTTGTAACAATGCTTTGAAACTTAATTATTTTTATGTATGTGTATATGAGTATATAGATATATATATATATATATATATATATATACCCACACATATGAGAATGTTAAATAGACCCAAGTTTTTACTAAATCTTGACCATCATGAATAAAAAACAAAATTTAAAAAAAAAAAAAAAAAAAAAAAAAGGCTAGGTCCCTGCATGATACATCTGTAGTATGATTTTTTACTGAGCAAACACTTTGATGAGTAATCTTTTGCTTTGTCACTCTTGATGCTCCATGCAATAACAAAACTCAAGCATGAACTTATTAAACAACATAGCCACACTCCTTGCTTTGTCACTCTTGATGCTCCATGCACTAACAAAACTCAAGCATGAACTTATTAGACAACATAGCCACATTCCTTGTTCATTGCATGCAATTGTGTAACTTCATCTATTGTTGCTAGATTATAGTGATGTTGAGATTTTGGCTCTATATATATATATATATATATGTATATATACGTAATCATTCAATTTAGTTTTAAAGAACTTATAAAACTTTCTAAAATGTAATTTTTATATTATAACTTTAAAAACATTAGAGTATTGAATTCTTCTCTTTTTATTCAAATGTAACAAGTTGTTTGATTGTTAATTACATAAAATAAAATGTATGCAATTCCAAAGCTTTAGCACTATTAAAGAATTATGCCACTTAGTTATCCAAATTTATCATAGTTTTTTTTTTTATCTTATTTTGTATTTGAATAAAAATTTATATTTGAATTCAAATGTAAAAATAAATTAAATACAAATTAAAAACAAATATCATTAAATAAAATGATAAAGAAAAAAATTCATAATTTCTATTATAGAATATAAGTTTTGTTTTAATTTAAAGTTACTTCTTGCTCTTAAAATTTTATATATATATATATATATAATTTAAATTACATCAAATTATACATCTTTTGTTCTTCATGCTATAATTTTAATATTTTTTGAAATCATTAACAAATTGTAATAATTTTAAAATAAAATTATATAATTTATTTAATTTAATAATAAAAAATAATGAAAATTATGTTTAATAAAAAATTCTATGAACTTTTTATATATATATATATATAAACACACACATAACAATATTACTTGACATTATATTATAATTGATATATAGATACATATTATTAAGTATAATAATACCTTTTTAACATATGTTGTCAAAATTTGAAGTTATAATGCATTGATAACCATAAAAAATAAATATTTTACTATGAAAATATATCTAAATAGTTAATGCACTTAATACATTTTATTATGTATATATAAAATAATATTTTATAATAAATATATTTGGTAGTTGCATATTATAATTATAATGCTAAAAATCATCAAAAGTCAAGATAATGCCAAAAAAACTATCTAAAAATTTAAGTAAAAAATTAAATTCAAACTATTATAATTATTCAAATATCTCATATAATTCTTATTTGATTTAAATATATCAATTATTAATTTAAATATATCTATGATTTGAGTTACATAAATCTAATTTAAAAATATATATTATATATATAATTATAATATATTTTATTTTATTTAAAGTTTATTACAATAAAAAATTATATAATAGAAATATAATATTAAGTTAATAATATATATATATATATATATATATAATTTATTTATTTTCTTAACTTAATATTATATTCCAATAATATTTATGGGATGTTGCTATTGCTACTCTAATTTTTGTTGTTGCCACCACAAATACCATCCACTATATGACAACATGGTTTCTACTAATGCTACTACAAGTTGTCCTAAACTTGAGATAAAAACCACAAGGCACTTTGCTTAACAACTAGTATTGTTACCAAAGCTAATTTTACTAATGTGTAACTCTAAATTGTTGTTGTTGATTAATGTTTATTTAGAGAGCAATAGATGGGTCACCTACGTAAAGAATTTCTCTCATGTAGAAGCAAATTTACAAGATTTGGCATTCTACTTGTTGAAATTTGAGCAATTTGTGCACATGCAATGGCTTGTTGTGCAAGAGACTAATGGAAATATTGATGTTTGAGTTGGCAAAAAAAACATGATGAAATTCTTGAACTAAAATTACTTGTATTGTTGAGCATTAGGTGTTGTGTAGGAATATCATATAGATGCCAACATGGATGAATAGCACCAATTGGAATGGATGCATCTTAAAAAAATAGTGAGATGAATGGCATTTAGTGTGATGGATGCACTTGTAAAAGTAGCAAGATGAATGGCAGTAAGCAAGATAGATACATCTTAGATGCCATGTGGGCAATGCACACTCTTTTCATGATTTAGTACAATTCTTTCAAATATTGCTGTAATACATATCTTAATGCACCTGATCCATCCACTCTTCTCCTTATAAACAGTGGTCAACCATAGTCAACAAAAGTCATGAGCCATGTAATCAACTTTGATAACAACATCAATACTTCAAAAAAATGCCTAGTGGTGTGCAGCTCAAGTTTAGGACAAATTTTAGTGGCATTAGGAAAATCCATGGTGTCATGTGGTAGATGACAAGTTGTGGTGGCAACAGAAACATTACACACCAAATTGTTGGACATGTACAGAGAAAAACAAAACACAGCAATAAGACAAGTAATGCTTCAAAAGCATGAAAGAATATTGCAATACTATGACTTGCAATACTATGACTTTAACATTGTAGCTCCTGCTCTCCTATGTCAAAAGTTTGTCATCTAGAGTGCAATAAATTTTGTATTTAACTTGTTAAAGTTTTGGACTAGATTACTTACAATCAGCCCAACAGTTTTGATCAATTTTGAGTGCAATAGTTCTGTGTGGACAAGACGAGTGTAATCTTCCTCTCATCTCACTTTCAGAATTGTTAGTCATGTTACCCAACAATACTCCAACAGAATGAAGTTTGTGCACAATTGCGGTGATATTGTAGAGTAATCCAGAAGTGAACAGTTTGGTATTTGTAGAGTGGGTCTCAACTTCTATCGTCTATGTTTTATCCAGCAAAAGTGTGTTTACTACGAAGACAAGAGGAGGTGATTTGTAAACAGATTTTTGGACATTGGGAATAACGTATGCTTTCTGATTGTGCGCTCCCGATATTATATAAACTGGGTGTTGCAGATTTCCAAAAACATTTTAGACACGTAAAGATATTATGATCGGATACAGCATGTTTTCAGATTGATTGAAGATTGAAATTTATGGAACGGAACGAGTGTCTGCAGACTGACAGATGCATGGCGACCTATATGCATTTATCGAAACTGGGTTTGAAGCAAACAAGCCACATCAAGCACGCTGGCACAGAGAGACAGAAGTCGAGATGTTCCTCGTGGAAGTACACGCTCCTGATTTTTAACCTGCAACATGATGTGCTCTTCACGTACACAGCTCTGTAGCAACATTCTAAGTCAAACTAAAACTAAATTGTAACTTCACTACGTAGCCAGTCAGAATATCCTAGAATAATATCTGACGGTATTGTTTATTGATCGATCAAATTATTCGCGAAGATAACGATGTTCCCTACAGAGGGGTTCCCCTTATTTGATAAGTTCCAGTAGTGGTATTGAAAAAATTCCGCCTATGAAGGGACAAATTTTCCTTCGCAGTTATCTTGACTATTGTACAGCAGACTCCAAGCCTGGTCAGATTCTAGTACTTTACAGTGCTTAGCACCTTCACAAGGAAGTTGGAAGGCCCATGACAAAATCGATAATTACCGCAAAACTACTGCTCGGTGTTGCTCAGGATAATTTTCTCCCGAACCTTGTGTAGAATTCATGTATAATGAAGCTGGCGACCCTCATTGCCACCAACGGCTCGGTGCGTGATGAAATATGTAAATGCTGATGAATAACGCATGCAATCCTCATTGCCACTAAAAGCCGGGATGCTTGATGAAATAATGATCGCTAGTAGGTCCATTCTGATGGAAGACGAGGCTCGTGAACCACGGGTTGGCGTACACCAGCCCGATTACTGCTTTGCTGCAAAGTAGGCCACACTCCTTCTCTGGGAGACTTGGCATGCCGATGAGAATTAACAGCACGACCGTGCCCAGGAGAGGTGTTAGAGTTGTTCTCTGCAGAACGCAATAAAAGTTAATTAGGAGTGTCAGAATTTTGAAAGAAACCACTGTAATGTGACATAATTCCGACGAAGAAACGAAGAGAAAAATAAAACGCCTAACAATATGATCATTTGATTCATGAAATAACATCACCCATAGCACTAGAAGTCGACAATGCTGGCAGGCAATAGATTGGCACTCACCATTCTGTCTCGCTGAAGCTGCCTTCCTTTGATCAAACACACGGGGTAGAAATACTCCAGTTCCTGACTCGCGACCAGTGCTTGAACCTAGGAAAACGACACGTACGCCAGATCCCCCATTCACGGCAGTTTGACGACTATTTTGCATAAGTTTGTTATCCACATGCTTTCCTGGATGGTTGTAAGTACTATTGTCACGTTGACCGTCAGGAAAACACGACTGCTGGTGATGGTGGTATCCTGCGCGATGAGGCTGACTTCGACTTGCAATGGCGTGGCTTGCTTCAGGTTTTATGCCCCAGTTCTGCATAGCCTGATTTACAAACATTTCATGAACGTCAATACCAGAGTATCATTGTGAAATCACGAAATTGGATGGCGCGGAATGTTCCAGACCAGACGGTTGAGACCATCTCTTGTCAGACATAATGATTCGGAACATGACATGGGTTGTCCTAGAAACATACTACACGTTCCCCCGACATCTACCATGCCTCGTTCAATAATTTGATTAAGCACCATGAGGAGTTCAATTGCACAGATATTAAGGTTACGAGCCATTACATAATTGTTAGACATGGAACTCCAGTCCTTCCTGCGAGCATAGAGAGGTAGATTTCTTCCCGCCGTCTGTCCTGCTGGTCGAGTTTGTTGAGGCAAGTGAGCCCGCATGGTAGGGTTTCCAACCCTGGACTGGTATGATTTCTCAACATCTTCCTCACTCATCTTCAACCGAACAATCTCTCCAGCTGCAGCGTACAGAGTTTCCCAGGCATCTTGATATCCAGATGAAGGCGCAGACGAAGGCGAAGAAACTTGAGATGACACTCTAGAAGAATCGTTAGAGCTACTTCGGCTGCCAGAGAGCAATGATCCAGTTGACCAGCTTCCGTTGTGCAAGTTGGAAGGCGACATTCGACCCTGCGAAGTTATGAAAGACTCAGAATGTGAATTCATTGCTGACACATGTGTCTAACATGACAATAAGCTCAGAAACAAAGAGCCCGTTGAGAGAAATCATCAGTAAGTTGAGAACAGATTCTATGCAATTTAGACACTGACGAGTTTGCGATTTGACACCAAATATCACCAACCGGCTTCCGATCAAGATAGCCACAGGATGTGTTAAACATTGTATGAGTGAAGTGATGCTTATCATCTTATTCATGGTTTAAGAAAACTCGAAACTCGTCTCACTGAAATCGACACCGGGTACGTTTCAAACCTCAGGGTATCCGCTTCGTGGTTGAAACCCGACTGGTCTGCTTGTATTGATTTCCTCGTCGAACGTCGAATGCGCAATTTGTTGAGCTAGACCATGAAAAAATTCATCCTCTTCGTCACTTTCAAATTCAGTGGAGCAAGGTGAGGACGACTCCTGAGGAAAGCAATTAGCTTCCCATCGATTACGATATCGCCCATAATTGAAAGGTATATCAGGTGTATTGTGGGGGTTGGGGATAAACCCCGGTGCGCTCCATTCGTGTGGATAGGAGTACACTGCTTCCATAGAAGCACCTTCATTTCGGAATCCGTTTGACACTCCATCGTCACCAACCCTTGAGCTTATGAGCCCATGCACTCGAGCTACCTCAAACGCCATTGTATATTGTTCTCTCAAAAACCACGAGAGATGTGGATAAGAGCAATCTAGATCGATTTACTTCACTTGTGAACAATGCACTAAAATCGAAAAGGGGGCACGATGTGGTCCGTAGTCAGTGAGCGTAAAAGTTCAAGATCTTATAATAGCATGGTCGATTTGTACACATAGTCCATGCATCACATTACATTCAGGGTAACAGTGTTTGGCTCCAAAAACATTCGCCAAAATGATCTTCCGCAGGCTCACCACACGATACCATCAACTGCAAGTTACAAAAACAACCAAATATTAGTGTTGTCCAACATAAAAGAACTCAACCACGACACCTAAAATATGAAAACTAATCAAGTCAGGAGCAGTGACCAAACGGTTCTTTGGCTTCATCCCATGGTCGAATATATTCAAGGATGAGATAGTGGTTCCAAGTTAAGAACAGCATGTGGTGTGCTAGGCAGTAACTGCGCATCTGTAGCGCGAGCCCAGTATATTAGACGGATACTGTTCAAACTATCAGATCGATAAACAAGCACCACGAAATGAAAAATACACTACTCGGAAGGTACTTAAGCAAATTCTAACGAAGTAGAAGAGCGTGCAACGAACTCGTGCATTCTCAAAGGGTGTCGAATCACCCAGTGTACTCGCAATACTTGCATTCTCCTCGTTGAAAATTTTCATTTGCATACTCTTAAAGAAAAGTGTCAGCGCTACATACACTAAGTGCAGATAATCCAGATGCTTAAGATGAGGACCATAACAAACCGCAATGTGAAGCTTACAAGATTCCGAGACCTCCAGGTACGAACAGACAGGAGTACACTAACTACATATTCAGAACTGAACTCGACCACTCCAAAAAACACACACAATACGGACGATAAACAGTTCTCCTCTACCGATGTGGAGACGCGCAATCACGAACTCACGCGCAGCTAGCTCCTCACAAACAGACTCACAGAACTCATGCACAAGAAAACATACATACAACCCGCGCTCTCCTAAGCGCGACAATGCAGGTCCCGAGGTCTTGCCTGCAAACGTCTACAAGCTCTACCACCACGCACTCCTGAGAAACTCAGTTGCAAGCAGCGCGAGAGCAAATAAGCACAAAAAAGCGTCCAGTACTGGCACACACCGTCGCCAGAAACTTGATGAAGATGGTTATGACAGCGAGAGCCAAGGTCCAAGTAAACCAGAGTGGCAGAGGAGGAGCCCCTCCGCGCTACTGCAGGCAGAAGACTGTCAAGGGAGCGCCAGAGGATCGGCAGGAAATCTGCGGATGACAGAGGAGAGGCCCAGAGACAAGGGCGGGAAGGAGGTGAGTGAGGGGAAGAAGGGAGGGAGGTGAAACAGTGCAAGATAGCAGGCAAGGGATCCCACTTCAACGCCGCGGCTCCGACTTTGAAGCGCGATGGAAACTGGTGATGGCGCCTCGAAAGCGGTAAAAAAGATCCAGGACACATACTGCCTTGTGCGCACCCGCATTATCTTATCGTATTCAGTAAACTAGGTTTTTGTGGTATTCATTTCAGTTGGCGGCCACGGCTCCCCAAGTGGATCCCCCGGCAACGCCATCATCCCCCTCAATAAAGCGACGTGCGCGATGCCCGAGGGCCGCAATTTTATTTTTGCGTGCTACCCGCGAACTTTCCTCCTCCTCGGCCCTGTCTCTCGCCCTCACCGTAGGTATGTACATCCCAGCACACACAGGTTTTTCAGAAACATTTGAATTATGAAGGATAAACGTGGACTAGTTCCCTGTAACCAGTGTGAGCTTCTTTCTTTCTTTCTTTCTTTCTTTCTTCTTCTGTGTTGTTTTTTCTCCACAACCCTGGGGGTTCAGTAATGTGTTCCACAGGTCTTTGTCTCTTTCACACGTCCAGTTGCACAGCAGCAGTACCATCTGCTGCCAAATTATTTTGCCTGCTGATGTGAAGTGACTGCAGTAACTTTCACTGTGTTGAAGATATGGCTCTTCATTATTTTGTGTGGCCTCAACTTATGTTGTACCTGGGGGAGGGTAAAGAGGACACATGCATGCACATAACCATAAATAATATAAATAAATAAATAAGTAAATACATAAACTAAACTAAACTAAACAAACAAACAAAAACATCTCTTCTCATCTTTGACCCATCTCTAGTGCTGGGCATGGGAAACTGGGATTTTCATCTCCCAATGGAGTCAATCCATTTGGTCAATTGACTCCTTTTCCTCCACCCAATCCTACTGACTAGAATGGGGGAAAAATATCTTCACTACCAAGATCATGAGCCAGTTTTGATAGCACTCACCCAATTTTACTGACATCTAATTAAGGAGAGCAGAAATTAAGGGCTTCCCTCCCCACCTCATGGTTATGCTGCTATTGGACCCCAAGCAAATTGGAACAAGTCCATATCTGATCCATGCCACAGGCTATACAAAGCAAGAAGCCGATGTGTGGAAAAACAGAATAACCAAGTGACACTGACTCTACAATAAGGATGCCAAATGTGCCATTGGCTCAAGGCAAAGAGATGATGCTGAATCCCCCCCCCCCACCCAGCTGTAACATGTTAGTTATGCCAAAGGCTCAGTAGTCATCATCCACAAACCCATGTCTCTAGATCTTCTGTAAGGTGGTAGTGAATAAAGGGAGAGCCTCATTAACCCTTGCTTCCATGGGTAGACACCTAGTTTTTCCTCTGTCACCATGAACCACTCTCTGGTCTGAGCATTGGGTACTACTTTCCTACCTCCTTGCATGGGAACAAAACATTATAAATGATCCAATTCACTTTTAAACTTTATTATGCTTTTATTGGTAATGCTGGCAGCTTCTTCACAGCTTGAAAAGTGTCTGGAACTTCCTTCATTATGAGATAGTGTGAGAATCAGTAGCTAGGGCCGGCTGGCTGAGTGGAGGCTGAGATTTAGGTCATTCGTGAACACAAGGGTGATGGACACACCCACCAGATAGTGCTTTTCTCTTTTCTTCCTTTTTCTGTGGAATCCTTGACTATATTGCCTCCACTTGACAAACTGTAAGATCTTTGTTTTGTCCTCTAGGGTAGGGTGGAGTTAGAATCAGATAAGTTGGCTCCACACTCCACATCTAAATTTCCTCTTTGCATGCCCAATTTGATCAGAACATATCCTTTTAAATGACATGCTGTGATGGATACTTTCTTTTGGATGAGACAATGTGATGTGATATTGATACTGTTAGATTTAGTGTGTAATCTAGATAAAATACTGTTGCAATGTGCTTTGTGAGCGTAACAAAATAAATGTCATTTTTTTCTTAGATCTCATAACTTCTGGAAATGTTTGTGTCTTGTTGTATATTTTTTTATTATTTCAGTTTGTACATGAGAGTAAGTGAGAGACTTGTAGTGATAGCTTGGTTTAAATAAAATGTTTTTTTTTCAATCTACAATTTTTTTTCACATGGTTTATCAAACAAGGTCCAGTCAAGTCATGGAGTGTGTTTTGAGTATTGATCTATGAGTTGTAAAATATGAAATAATCACTATGCCTGGTTAGTTTAAACCAACACTGGGTATTTTTTTTATTTTTTTTTTCACTACAAATATTTGTAATGTGTATGAATAAATGACAGCTTTTTAAACGAGTTCTGAAAATAAAAAAATAGAGAATATACAGACAATTTTAACAAACAAACAACAAAAAGTAAGATATAAAAGGTAAGAAAACCTGTTTTTTCTTCTCAGTAAAGTTAAAGTTTGATGATCCACTCTCAGAAACATCAAAGATGTGACATTTAAGTGTCAACTGGAATTCAAGTGCCTGAATTTACACTGAAGTGCTTTACATTCACAATCAAACCTGTAGACCAAAGAAATCAGAGTGTGCTCATGATGGCTTTTTTTTTACACATATTTATTGTTACTTGTTCAACTATTCAAAAACCAATGATGGAAATAAGGAAAGAAATAGACTCAATGTTATTAATTTTTCATTCAATACAAAACCTCATGATCCAATTACATGAGATTTTTTATGTGATTTTATTATACGTAATGTTCCTATGGTAAAGAACACTTCACTTTCAACAAAATGCATGATAGTTTTGAAATTTTAACTTTATTTTCCATTTAAAAAAATACACACATACATACATACATATACGCAAGCCTTTAGCATAACCACATATTGCCAATAAAAAAATATTAATAATAAAGCACGACTTAACTAACAACATTCTATCTTTTTGTCCGCATGTTTATTTTAATTTCACATTTATGAATTTTTGTGGAGAGATTCAATCCGGGTCAAAATTCCATCATAGAATCAACAAACGACTCATTATCTAAAGTGCTCACATGGATGAAAACGGAAAGGATGAGATACATCCAATGGGGGTATAATCCACACTTTGAGTGAGCTTAAGAACAGTTCGATGTCAGGAAGGGACATCCATCCATTGGAGGAGGGACATGGGGATCCCCAGTGGCCCCCGCAGGGTTGTACACTTGATGACGATGATGACGTGGACTCCATCCCTCCCCACGGAAAAGGGCTGACTGAGATGCGAGGGCCGGGTGCCTTCTCCATCCTCCGCCCGCGATCCAGAGCGTCCACCCATATTCCATGTCTTTTTCCTACTTCCCCACCTCACCCACCCTTAACATGATTTGCCAGCGTGTCATTTTGCTTTTGTCCAGCTCAGCTATCATTGGGAGGGCTTTTGCTACGCTGGATTGGCATTGGTTGGCTATGCGTGGATCCGAGGGCAGGATGTTTTGTTGTTGTTTAGGGTTAGGGCTTGGGTGCACTTCATTGGAGCCCTGGATTTGTCCATATTCAAATGGTCGGTGTTTTTCTTACCATTGAACACTCTGAACACATGAATTTAACTTCTTTTTTCTTTTTACCTCGAAGCAATGTGATTGCTTTGATTAAAGTTGATTGGAAGATACAGCTATTTATTATTATTGTTATTTATTGCGAAATTCGTGGATTGGGAAGAAGAAATTTGATGTTGCATTTACCAAGCTGGGTACTGGATAAATGTTGTTTTAGAAACAAAGTTTGAAATACCGTAGGAAAATTAATAAGAAAATTTACAAATATTTTAATGGGTTAAAATGAAATCATCTCACGTCAGAGTAGATTTCATTTCGTTCTAACCAAATTTTCTTTATTAGTTTAGTTTAAGATTAAATAAATAAGTTTTTTGACTGGTTCATCCTTCTCACAGTTAAATATATTACCAAACATACTTTTTTGGGTAATATGTTAAAAGTTAATTTACTACTATACTGGTAGTACAAGTAGACAAAGTAAACAACTTGGATAAGATGGAAATTCCCAGTCATTAAACCACACATTCTTTATCTAATATACTTCACATCTCATGAATTTATGATTATTCTCAACATATGTTTTTACAGACACACAACTCATTGAGCAATTCTTGCAGACTTTGAAATCATCCTAAAAGTTATTCTTTATTGAAAAATCTAACCATGTCATTAATATGTATTTTTTAACTGCAGTTTGAATATTGTTAGTTCAGAAATGTGATAAAATAAAATAAAAACCATGTCATTTGAATATGATACAACAATACAATGCATGTTAGCTTCAAACTTGGTTTTGAACATTAGTATTAAGGTTTGTATACCAAGTCCCACATCTTGACATATGAATCAAGCATACTATATGTAGTGCAGTAAATAAAAATGGTTTAAGATACATCTTACATTAGAATAATCATCAATACTGTTTAATTTTTACAATACTTTATGAGTTTTGAAGTTGTATAAATTCTGTTTAGATTAAGTTTACCAAAATGAATTCCATCCAAGCAAAAATCATGTATAATAACAACATAACTTGACTTGTGAGTAGCTGCTTGAAGACTCCATAATGACACTTTAATCAACCAAAATGACAAGGAATAAAATATAAAAAAATAAATTCAATCAGTTAGTCAATTATATATTTTATTCAACTGTTGTGAGTGATGTTAAGTGATGGTTACAAGAGTACATTGCAGTTGTAACATAACAAAATGAATGCATGCTGTAATGTTTTAGGGTTTGTATCATTTAATGCATTCTGTTGCATGGTCAGGATCTTTTATATGCTTTTTGAGTGAAATCAAATTAGGGGTGCATTGAAAAATCAACTACAATGCATTATTTAGAGAAACAAGTAGGAATTCATTCTTACACATAACTGCATTATGATTCATTATATATATATATATATATATATAAAAACATTACTTCATACACTATGGAAATTTGCCAATGGTGTAGAAATGATTTCAGTATTCAAAGTGCTGTACATATGTCATTTTTATTTTTTTGGTGCTGATCTGGTGCATTTTCATGTCAAGCATTATTTGTATTTTCTCCTACAAATAATTACATGTTTTGTCTGATTTTTCTTAAGAACACCAAGTAAAAACATATTGCAATCTGCCTATGCTAAGCATTTT